CCTGCCTCTGCCTCCCAAAGTGCTATGGAAGAAGAAGGAAGATAGGGAAAACCTAACCCACCCTCATACGCTAGTCAGAACCCTAGTTACTTCCTAAAACCAGATTACAGGTATAAGCCACCAAGCCCAGCCACTAACACCATTTGATTAATGTTTTTCGTATCTTTTTAATGTTTTTCCTATCTTTAATTGAGCCAAAATATCTGTTGCTAAATGAAGAGTTTGCAAAAACTCTTCACTGTATCACATCCACTCTGAACAAACGCGATTCTTTGTTAAGAAAACATTATCTAGTGCTTCATTTCACTACGCAACAAAAGAATCATTCACTGCATTGTCTTCATTTCTGGCTGGCCTCATTCACTCAACTTGAGGAGCCTCTGACCCACAACCATCACAATCGCCCTCCACACTTGTGTCTTCTCTATAGCACCTTTCAGAGAACACCACCACACAGTTCAGATGTCAATGATGCCATTATGGACCCGGGACCTTTTCGAGGATGTTGGCTGGTTATACCATTGTGTGATAAGACAATTAACTTGACATTCAATTTTTTAGAGATGGTCTAGATTTCAACATCCTTATGTTATACAGAGTTGAGATAATCAAGGTCAGAAGAATGTGCCTGATTATCATAAGACAACTAAAGAAACAGAAATGTGCAAAGAAGTCTCACAGTTCACAAATGTCGAATAGGTCTCACACAACCCTCAGGAAATAATACTGAGTGTGAATATGTGGGAGAAAATACTGGAAACTGAACCATCAATATTTGAATTTTGAACAGATATGGGGCTGAATTGCAGTAAGATACTTATTAACTTAGAAGAAAGGAGAAGTGTGGGGCAATAAGGAAGTAGAGAAACGCATTTGGATAGCTCCGCTTTTTTTTAAGCACAAATAAATGATAAGCATTAGTTTCCTTAAGCCTCATGACATCACATTCCAACATAATACCTGCCCTGACAAGTCAGTCCTTCATTTATTCAAGCAGGCATACAGTTTAAACACAATATATTTATGTTCAATCTGTCCGCTTTTTTTTAAGCACAAATAAATGATAAGCATTAGTTTCCTTAAGCCTCATGACATCACATTCCAACATAATACCTGCCCTGACAAGTCAGTCCTTCATTTATTTAAGCAGGCATACAGTTTAAACACAATATATTTATGTTCAATCTATACACTGTCTTTTAAACGGCAACTATGCCAAAACTACAAATGTTCAGGAAAGAGAATTTAAAAATGAAATTTCGAATGGCTTCTGACTGTAAGGAGGATGTAGATTTTAAAGTTGACAGATACATACATTGCTCTATAAAGGGTACATCTAACACCCTAATTGAAATAAATCATTTTCTGCAACAAAGCAGGGCATAACTTAACACACACGAAAATAAGTGCTCTGTGATCACTGACTTTTTGTTTCATTTATTCATGTAAGCAACATTTACTGAGTGCCAACCCATGTCCTGTGTACCATAAAAGGGACCTCAGGGTGCAAAAATGGAATCGGACTGGTTTTTCAGGCTTAAAGGCTAACAACACTAGATCGTGAGCAACAGCATGTTTGTATGTGCGCTTTCACGAATGATTTACAAGCATTAAGTCATTGAATCCCAGTAATAACCTTGAATATTATTCATTAGAGATGAGAGCTGAAGCCCAAACAAGCTAGCTGACTACTCCAAAGTCATACAGCTGGGAGCTGGGTTCGAAGCCAGGCAACCTGGGACCAGAGCCCACACTCTTTGCTACCACACTGCCTTAAGCTGCTCACAGGGGAGGGCGGTGAGTAGCGTCTGTCGCTGGAGTCACTGTAAGGACTTCCGAGGGGAGCATACACAGAAGCTGAGTCCTAGAGGCTGAAATGAGGACAGGAAGGTATTCTGGTCATAGGATGGTGCAATAACCTACAAGCATGGAGGGACCAAACTCACCGCTGTCAAGACAGTCTGTAGTTCCTAATGCCAGAATGAGAAGGGTGCGTGCAAGCAGGACAGGAGAAACAGCTGGAAACGGGGGCGGGGGGCAGAAAGCAGCACCTGAAAGCTGAGGGTGGGGATATTCCTGTGAATATGGAAGATAGGTTGAAGTGGAATGAACGAGGAAGCAAGTTCAGAAACAATCTAGGGTCTAAACTGAAGTAGCCAAATGGCCGAGAGACTACCCAGCACAGTAACAGCAGGCAGAGATCCCACCAGGAGTGATTAACTTAGACACATATTCCCTTCCTATAAAAGACAAGTACATTTCCATATAAGGCGAGTTACATCGCCTGCAAAGGATATAGAAACTAGAGGCAATAAGCAAAAATATGGATGCCAGCACAGGGCAAGCGAAAGCACACTGAGCGTGGACTCACGGCTTTAGCTCCCACCCTGCCACCCCACAGGGCACAGTTCACCTGGCCACTCAGGTGCTGCATTCTCTACAATCAGTCTGGAAATGGACTGTAAGAACCCAGGCCGGGTGCGGTGGCTCACACTTGTAATCCCAGCACTTTAGGAGGGCAAGGGGGCGGATCATGAGGTCAGGAGTTTGAGAACAGCCTGGCCAACATAGTGAAATTCGGTCTCTACTAAATATACAAAAAAGAAAGAAAAATTTGCCGGGCATGGTGGTGCACGCCTGTAATCCCAGCTACTCAGGGGCAAAGGTGGAGAATCGCGTCAACTCGGGAGGTGGAGGTTGCAATGAGCCGACACCGCACCACTGCACTCCCACTCAGGCAACAGTAAGAGACTCTGTCTCCAAAAAAAAAAAAAAAACTCTTCTTGTACAGACAGCCTTTGAATCCCATTTGTCCGAATACCGCAGATTAGGGACAAGTCAGAATTAGTAAAACATGTAAAATGTCTCGTTCTATTTCTCTCCTTTATTGGTTTATTTTAAACAACTTTTCACATTTAAGCACAGCCTCAGGAAAAATCACAAGGAGATTAAAAACAGTACAACTATACTCAGAAAATATATTTTTAAATATACGTCAAATTAAGATGGAAATTGCTTAATAGCATTTCCCAGAATATAGAATTTTCAGAGACCTCACTTCCTTTTCCTAATTTAACATATCCTTACAATTTAAAGCCAGGAACCCAGAGTGATGATGCATTCCTTATCTTATAACAAAATTAAATCAGCAGGGCTGCGTGCTTTTCCAGATTCTCATGGATTAACCACCCATCTACAGAAAAGGTCTGAGTAATACACGAGAACTGGAATTACAAGTTGTAACACAAGTTGCCATTTAAAACACACACCCAGAGATCAGCGATAGGATTCCCAGAAAGACTTCACTGAAAGAAAAAAGCACAAGCCCACACAGGGCAGTGAAGTGAACAGAAGAGACAGGAAACTGAGTTTTTCTTCCAGACCAGCTCTTATTTGCATGACCTCAGGCAAGTATCTTAACCTATATAGAACCCTTTGTAAAGACAGGCTATCTCCAAGGACTGTGGCAAAGATGAAATGACAGAAGAGGTCTGAAGAGCCTATGGTTTGTGACTGTTCATGCTTCAGAAAATGTCACCATCTCCAGCAGCTCACTTCCCAACTGGCCGTCTGAAGACTTGCTAGCAAATCACACCCCTTAGATCTGTGACACGCTGGCCTTTCCAGAGACCTCAGGTTGACACTGTGCTTGGGAGACTGTCACAGAAGGGGGCTGTTAAAGGTTCATTTCAGAACTAAGACTTTTTTCAAAGCAATCACAAGATAAATATCTACCAAGTCAGCAAATGACTAAATAATTAATAAAATGATAAATTATTTAATTTAAAAATTAAATTATTAACAAGAACTATTATATCAAGTACTTAGTTGAAAAGGCTTTAAATGATAACAAAATCTACAATTATCATCAAGGATCTGGGTAAGAAACAGGGAGAGAGGCAAGAGGTGCGGGCCGTGGAGATTATGTCAGCTGGTAACTGCAAATTCCCCACTTGATTGAGATGTTAATGGTTAGCAGCTGGTAGAAGAAAACAGAATTTATAAAAGTCAAAAAGCAGTTTATCCTCACCATAAGTCACCAAGGCCTGAGCAGACGGACGGCCAGGGAGCACAAGTTCACGTAACTATAATACAGTCACTCTCTCTCAGTAATTAAATTGGTAAAAGTGAATGTTATAAGGGTGGGGAAACTGAGGTACTGTGCGTGTCCAGAATCGGAGGGCCTCTGGCCCCGCGGCCCCCGACTCTGTTCTGGACACCCCTCCCTGAAGTAGCCACTATGAGCTGCAAGATCTCCTAACAAATTTCTCGTCTCTAACACCAGAATCACTACTCAACCATGAGCTACACCAGCCCGCAGGGGTGTGTTCAGCTGAGTCTTTGATGAAAGAATAACCACTTTGAGTGCTGTCCTGCACACACATACACATGCACTCACAAGACACCAGCAGAGAAGAATACACGGAAAGTACATTCTAGGATCACTTCTGAAACTCATCATTGGTGTGACGCTGAGCAAGCCTCTGAGCCAAGATTCATACCTAAGCATAGATAATATGTGGCACTAACATGTTAAAATACAAGGAGAAGAAAAAAGGTTTTTGTCTCCTTAATAACCTATAAAACATCAGGAAGCAATGACGGTTATATGGAGCCTACCAGTTTTCCCAGAAATAAAGAACAATCCACCCATCCCCACCACCACTACCACAAAAATGACAACTGGTATAGCATTTCAAGCAATATTTCAATCTGGGTTCTCACTAAAAGATACTTACAGATGTCTCATTTAAAACCAACAAAAAACCCCCACTGTCAAATAGATTCAGGGAACACCGTATGCTAATCCTTCTCTTAAAGAAGCAAAAAACCATATTCTTATTTATTTATTTACACAGTGTCTCGCTCTGTCACTCAGGCTGGAGTGCAGTGGCACAATCTTGGCTCACAGCAGCCTCAGTCTTCCAGGCTCAAGCGATGCCCCTGCCTCAGCCTCTCAAGTAGCTGGGGCTACAGGTGCACCCATCAAACCCAATTAGTTTTTCTGTTTTTTTTTTTTTTTTTTTTTTTTTCAGAGATGGGGTCTTGTGATGTTGCCCAGGCTGGTCTAGAACTCCTGGGCCCAAGCAATCCACCCACATCAGGCTCCCAAAGTGCTAGGATTACAGGCATAAGCCACCATGCCCAGCCATATATTCATTATTAAAGACTCACTCTGTGAAGTTCTGCTTTCAAGAAATTTCTTTAAATTTATTTAACCCAAGAAGTTTTATTCACTTAACACCTTTGAACACTGGCATTCCAAGGGATACAGTGTAGCAAACCACAGGGAAGGATCTTTCCACACTTCTGGAGAATCTCTGCTTCTGTGGGCAAGGGTATCACTCTGTACTATCCATACGGGCTTCCTCCACACAGCAGAACTCACAGCACAGGCATCTCTCTGAGTATAAAGCATTTAGTATCTCCAGCACAAAGAGAGGACCTCTCTCTTCTGGGCAGTATTTCCCTGGACCCCAGTGAAGGACTCCTGGGTCATATGTCCACCCCATGGACTAATTACCGTGGCCAGAAGACTACGGCACAAAGGCTGGCAGGCACAGAAGCATCAGGTCTTCTGTGGCTGAAGAAGCTGAACCATAGAAGAATCACATGGTTGCTGTGGACATGAGAAGTTCCCTAAAAGAAGTGTGCATGTGTGTATGTATGCATGTGTGCATGGTGGGTGGTGCTACCGAATGGAGAAAGAACCTCTTACCCTGAGCTCTGGAAGACCGAGGGACATCTCCATCTGGGTGTGGAACAACTATTTCAAATTAACATGTCCCAAATGTTTTCAGCTCTCCACCCCTTCTTCCTCAACGTGTTCCTCCCTCAGTTTCGGCAGGAGTCAGTATCACATACCTGATCAAAACCTGGGAATCGTCCTGGATTCCTCCTTTTCCCTCACTCCCAACTTCTGATCGTCAGCAAATTTACTTGATTCTACCTTAAAAATATATTCTGAACCCACTCATTCTCTACACCTTCACTGCCGACACTCACTCGAGCCACATTATCTCATACCTGGACGAGCACAGTCTAACCACTTCCATTTCTGCCTACCCATCTTATTCACCACAGCATCCTCCGTGCCCAGCACATGACAACCACTAATATTTGTAAATAAATGAGTAAATGGGGAAAGGGCTCCTAGGGCTGGACAGACAAAAACAGCAGATTTCCAGTTCGATCACTATTTTTATGACTATTATTATAAATCTTCACATTTGAGTCTCCTGGCAACAAAAGTAAAAAAGCAAATATACAATAGTCCCAGTGATTCGGGAGGCTGAGGGAAGAGGATCACTTGGAGTCCAGGAGTTCAAGGCCAGCCTGGACATAGTGAGACCACCCCCCACCTCTAAAAAAATTAATAAATAAGTAAATTTTCTTTTTTAAAAAAACCAAACACCCTGTTATTTTAATAAATTGATTTTTTAAAGGAAGCATACAAGATTTTTAAATGAGAAACATTTTTTATTTTCCTGGTACTAAATGCTAAAAGCAATTTAGAACATGAGCTGCTCATTTAACAATTATTCATAGGTCCTCAAAGAAGCACTGAATTGCAAACAGACTTACGATTCCCTTAACAAACAAGATGGACCTGAACTTCAAAGTTGGCTTCTCATATCAACTTTGCAAAAGCCAGAGGCAAGCAACAAAAATTAAAGTTAGAGGGCTTCAGGGAGGGTAGAATAATGGGGTCCCGCCAGGTAGCTTTCTAGAGATCTAACAGCAAGGACTGAACTTTGACTCCCTTGGGGGACATGCCCTGCAGGGGTCGGTGAGACAGAGTAGAAAGACACAGGCTACAGGACAAGAGACTCGCCTTCTTGCCTTCCCACTCCCATGGGTTAGCCCTGGGAACTGTTGAAGCATTTTAAGGTGAGGAATGATACACTTGTGTGTGCAGTGCTGAAAACCACTCCTGCAGCTGGACAATGGATCGGGGGTGACGTCACAGCCCTCGAGGGGCTAATTAAAAGGTTTCCTGGAGGTTTCCTGGAGAACAACGATGACAGCCTGAACTACATTTTAATAGAATTTAGTATCCACAAAAATCTCTATAGCCTATCACGGGCTATGGCTTCAGCGGAGCGTCTATCATGAAGGCGGGGCCCCAGGAATGTGCAAATGCTGTGCAGTGCTTTTCCCCGCCTGCTACCGAGGTCTTGGCACAACACAGCACATTTGAGTTGTGCAGCTCCTATATGAAAATAAACAGAAGAAAGGCGGTCTCGACAGCAGGAGGCTGGAAGGAGGCTTAGAACCAACTAGTCGCAGAGCGCGAGCAAGGGAGATACTTCAATCCTCAGCTTCCTAAGGGTGGAAGAGTATCTCCAGTGCCTCCTAGGAAGTTTGCTGCTTCTTGTTGAAGAGTGATTTCCCATAGAAACAGTATTATAAGCAAACAAACTTTTTTCTACAATTTATCTTGATAAACATGTTTCAATTCTGGGAAACTTTTAGGAAAATTATGTGACAGGAAGTTCCTTTCTCCTTCTCCCTCCTCCTCCCCCACCAAAAAAATACATTAAAAGAAAAAACTCTTGATCATGGTATCTCCCCTGCCAGGTAAGTATGGCTCAAGCCTGTAATCCCAGCACTTTGGGAGGCCGAGGCGGGTCTCGATATCTCAAGGTCAAGATATCGAGACCATCCTGGTCAACCTGGTGAAACCCCATCTCTACAAAGATAACAAAAAATTAGCTGGGCATGGTGGCGTGTGCCTGTAATCCCAGCTACTCAGGAGGCTGAGGCAGGAGAATTGCTTGAACCCAGGAGGCGGAGGTTGCAGTGAGCCGAGATCGCGCCATTGCACTCCAGCCTGGGTAACAAGAGCGAAACTCCGTCTCAAAAAAAAAACTCTTGAAATATAAATGTAAAGCAGCAAAACAATAAAACTGAACAACCTTCCTCAATCTAATTCTATAATGGAGCATCTAAGCTGGTTCTTCAAAATAACTGTCACCACTTCCAAAATGTGTCTCACCTAATGAGGGTAAATCACGGCTTGTGCCATTCCAGATCCCATCCTCATCTGTCTGTTTTTTTAAATAGATACTAGGGCGTCTCACTATGTTGCCCAGGCTGGTCTCAAACTCCTGAGCTCAAGTGATCCTCCTGCCTCAGCCTCCCAAAGTGCTAGGATTACAGGCATGAGCCACCGTGCCCAGCCCCTCACTGTCTTCTAAAACCAAAAAGGATTTTCTAACTTGGCTGAAACCTTCCCTGTCTACCCTCCAGTTCTGCCACATTGTAATCCAGTAACCAAATTGCAATCAAAATAGAAATCTGATCATCTCTCCCCTTCTTCCCTGGCTCCCCAAAATCTTCATCAAAGCCTTCCATATCTTAGCCCTCCCTGCATTCTCTCTCTCTGTTCCTTAAATTGAACTTCACACTTTAAATTCCTCTCCTTCTTGTCGCCATTGCCTGCCCGGCTCACTTAGGCCTTAAGGCTAAACTCAGTCATCACCAAAGAGCATCCCTGTATCCCTGCAGTGGGCCACTGCCAGTCTATCATCGCACAGCACCAGGGCACACCTCTTAACAGACCAGACTGTTCGAGTCTGCACGTTCTCTTTGTCTTATTTAGCTTCCTGCCTCTTGTAGCAGCATAAAGCCTGACACACCAGGGACATTCCCTGAACTAACTCACTGTAAACACTGAACTCACTCCAGAATGAAACTCTCTTCTGCTTACCCTCAACTCCCTACCTTCAATTTCCTGACCTACAACAGTGTACCTCAATGTTCTTCTAACAACGGATCCCTGATGCTGAATAGGATCATGTGTTTTGCACAAGCTGATCATTAAAAACTCATATCAGAGACTAATGATAATGAGCTGATGCCCGGACTGGGAACTGAAACTCTGCAAATATCTTCTCATTTGCTGAATCATCTGAAGAAGGCTTTGGGGGAAAGATATCCCTGTTATCTTTTCATTGTTTTCCTCAACTCTCTCTCTCAAAACACCATAAAACAACAGGTGAGATACTCCCGGTATCTGAAAAATTTTCTTCTTGCTTCTGGAGCAAGAAGAAATGGGCATGTAGGTGTGACTGAAGGGGTGATAAGAATTCTGGTTTAAATTCTCCAAAAGATCCCTGATGTACTCCATTTAAATATGCGCTTCCTCTCACCCATATCTTGGTCTGAATGCCAGCAGTGTCCCTCAGCAGACAGAAAGACTTTGCTCATGTGTTTTTACAAGATAATACAAACTTCTGAATGTGCCATGTCCTGATCATTTAGGTTAAGGGTCAGTGAACTCAAATGTATTAGGAGGCCAAAGTAGCTTTGTCAAAGAGCAAAGCTGGCTCTGTGGAAAAAATGACAGCCTCAAGGACAATGACAAATGGCAGTCAACATGGGCATCAGGGCCAATGAGAAACACTAGGGTGCTTCTGGGATGGCAGAAAACTGGAGAGAGCTTGCTGCTGCTCAAAGAGCCTGACCACAACCCAGCTCTTCCTATTCCTGATAAGCACAGACACAGACCTAGCGTTCCCAGGTCTGGCTTTTTAAAAAAAAAAGGAGGATAGGGCCAGGTGCAGTGGCTCACGCCTATAATCCCAGCACTTTGGGAGGCCAAGGCGGGTGGATCATGAGGTTAAGAGATCGAGACCATCCTGGTCAACAAGGTGAAACCCCATCTCTACTAAAAATACACACACAAAAAAAAAATTAGCTGGGTATGGTGGTGTGTGCCTGTAGTCCCAGCTACTCGGGAGGCTGAGGCAGGAGAATTGCTTGAACCCAGAAGGCGGAGGTTGCGGTGAGACGAGATCGCGCCATTGCACTCCAGTCTGGGTAACAACAGCGAAACTCCGTCTCAAAAAAAAAATAAAAGGAGGATGGATATAGATTTATGGCTGATATCTCCCAATTTATAAATACTGGGAACCAACATCGATTTTTTTTAAACGCTGTATATTTAAACCACAGAAGAGCAGGCCACAAGCCACCAGCCTGTGACATCTGTCTTTAGGCCTAAGTTGCTCATTATCATTTTATAATGATAAGAATCATGTGGCCACTGATTCTTATAAACTTTTGTCTTCTCTCACATGACAGAAAGATCTTTTGTGACTGGAAATACATATGACCCTCCTAAGACTGGCACTCATTGTAGAGCCCAAGATTTGATGTCCCGGGTTCAGGAGCAGCTGGATTAAAGTGTTCATGAAGCTTTGCCAAGCTCATCAATCCAGGAGACATTTTTCCCCCTCTCATTTCATTTTTTTTTTATTTTTATTATGAGTACATAATAGTTATATATATTCCTCCTATCTCAATTTAATTACCACAAACACTGTTTTTACAAGGTGCCAGGCAAGAAGAGGTGAGGCAAATGGAGGCTCTGAGAAAAGCTCCCCCAAAGCCTGAATGATGGAAGATAACTCTGGGAGAGAAAGAGGTGACGTTCCCAAGTTTATGAAAACATGACATCTGAACTCAGAGAAATAGAACTTCTATAGAAAAGAAATGAGGCCTTGTAGCTCTATAAGGAATGGTAGATAAATCAAGCTTGCACACAAGAAGCGGGAAAAAAATCCAAGTAGAAAGGAAGCTTTGAATGAAATGTCCACAGAGCTCAGGGTCTGCAGTGACTTTAATGCAAGATTCAAGGCACTATCTAGAAAACTCCTAGCCAGTCTTGAAGATCCAAGCCCTATACTGAGCATGTACATAGTCTTTCTGTTCCATTCAGTACTTGCCAACAAAACTAGACTTAAAAGCCTTGCCACGATTCAGTCTCCTTTAAAGTACCTCGTTGGTCCTTTACCCCTCTGCTGTGTCTCTGGCTTGCCTGGCCACTGCTCTGTGAGTCCCCACACCTCCTCCTCCACACACACTCTTCCCCCAAGCACTTGGCACAGAATAAGGATCTATTTTATATCTGGATTTAAATATGAGTTTTCTTCACTAGCTCATTTCCTTATCTACTAATGGGGGAAATGCCACCCACCACAGAGTGGGAATTAAATGAAACAATAAACCTAAAGACCCCAGCTCATTGGCTCAAACATAAATAATGTCAAATATTCCTTCCTCTCCCCATTCACATATCCTCCCACCAAGCCCCCATGTTCTATAGCTTATGACCCAAAATGTTAAAAGTAGAAAATTCTAAAATATTGACCATATTAAACAGAAGCTTGAAGAGATACGCAAGTTATAAATCTTTCTGTGCTTCTTCCTTGCCAATATAAATTTGCTGAATGACAGATTTTTCTTTTTTTTTTTTTTTTTTTTGAGACGGAGTTTCACTCTTGTTACCCAGGCTGAAGTGCAATGGCGTGATCTCGGCTCACCGCAACCTCCGCCTCCTGGGTTCAGGCAATTCTCCTGCCTCAGCCTCCTGAGTAGCTGGGATTACAGGCATGCGCCACCGTGCCCAGCCTAATTTTTTGTATTTTTAGTAGAGACAGGGTTTCACCATGTTGACCAGGATGGTCTCGATCTCTTGACCTCGTGATCCACCCGCCTCGGCCTCCCAAAGTGCTGGGATTACAGGCGTGAGCCACCGCGCCCGGCCCGCTGAGTGACAGATTAAAAGACAGTCAGTCCCAAGAAGTTGGATTCAATACCATGACATGAGGCACTAAGTAGCCCGTATCAATAGCCAGGAACGATCAATAGCCAGGAATCAGTAGCCTCGCATCAATAGCCAGGAATGATCAATAGCCAGGAATCAATAGCCTCGTATCAATAGCCAGGAACGATAAATAGCCCATATCAATAGCCAGGAACGATCAATAGCCAGGAATCAATAGCCTCGTATCAATAGCCAGGAGCAATCAATAGCCAGGAATCAATAGCCCATATCAATAGCCAGGAATGATTAATAGCCAGGAATCAATAGCCCGTATCAATAGCCAGGAACGATTTCACTGCAGCCTCATATGCTGGTTGCCAGGAATTTTTTTTTAAATCTTGAATGTTGCTTTAAATATAGTAATAAAAGAAAACATGACCGGCTGTCGAAGCCCATATGCTACTCCCTTTTCAGGACTACAAAATGCTCATTCAGAGTTTGTTTGTGCACAGCAAGCAGCAGCCGGAGGGGAGCCAGTGAAATCAATGAAAACTCGCTGTTTGGAAAACTAGTAAATAGAAAACTGGGACTGTGTTTCTCTGGTTTCTCCTAATCTAAAACCCGTGATGTAAATCGAGTCGAGTCTTGACTTCTTATTTCAGCTTCACTGACAGTCCGAATAGAATGCCTAGCTAGCGGTCTGTCTGCCGCAAATCTCGGCTTCATCATACGAATTAAGCGCACTGATCACTCTGTTCTTGAAATATTCCGCCATGAAACCACATTTTCCTGGTATTCTCCTCTTCTTCCTGGCCATTCTTTCCATTCTTTTGCTGGCTCTTGCTCCTGTGACTGTCAAGAGTTCCTTCCAGCTCCGCCCTTTGCCCACTCTTGTGCCTTACATACTCCCTGTATACTAGCAAGTCCCAAATTCCTTTCTGGAAACAATCTTTCCTCTGAGCCATATTTCAAACTGTATCATCCCTCTGGGCTACATGCTCATTTTGCCATCAACAGGCCAACACCTTCACTTGGACATTTCATGAACTCAATGTGTTCAACAGTTACGTCCTTTTGCTAACCCACCAGTCTCCCTCATCACAATAAAGAAGCTCCTTACCAGGGTGCAGTGTGAGTCAAGATCGTGCCACTGCACTCCAGCGTGGGCGAAAGAGGGAGACTCCATCTCAAAAAACTAGTAAGAATAATAATGATGATAAGGTCCTTACCTACCCAGGTGCTCAAACTAATCACTGATTTCTCCTTTTTCCTCAGCTCCCACATAAAAGTCCTATCATTCCTACATTCAAAACATACCTAGAATCCATGTACCGCTTACCATCCCCTCCAGCAATCCCTAGACCAGAGGTTCTCAAACTTTTCTGTACATCAGATCATCCAAAGGACTTGTTGAAGCAGACTGCTGAGCCCCACCTCCAGTTTCTGAATCAACAAGTCCACAACAAGACTGGGAGCCTGCATTTGTTACAGGTTTCCAGGTCATTCTGATAGGGCTGATCCTGAGACCACACATTGAGGAAGCACTGCCCTAGACCAAGCCTGACTTCTCACCCCCACTGTTAACACTGTAATTCTCTAAGTAACATATCAGGTTATGTTACTTCCCTATTAAAATCAAATCCAAGCTCCTCACTGGCCAGTATACGTAACCCAGCATGACTTCCTCAATATCCCCTGATGCTCTTGCCTCACTGTTCCTCAGCTCCCCTAAAACCACACACTTCCTAAGGGCCTTTGCACAATCTGTTGAATCTGCCTGGAAACTCCTTCCCCTCATTCTTCAAATGGATCGGGCTCTGTTTTCCTTCAGGCCTCATCTTAAGTGTTATTTTCTTTAAAGTGTCTCATCTAACTTCCTACACAGCTCCCCAGCCCACTCCAAATTCCCTATGGCAACACTCTTCCCAACAAGTTTTAGCCCTCACCATAATCAGTGTGTATGTGTATGCATACGTTTGTCTCTTGCTGCCTAGCAAGACTAACAAAGCCGCATCTGTTACATCTGCTGTATCCTCAGCACACTGTCTGCTACACATTACATGCTGAATAATTTTCGTTGTACAAATGGATGAATGAATGAATAAATAATGGACTTTTCAGTAAAGGCAATAACTTCTAATTTCTAGCTAAGGTAATGCTTAAAAGTTCTCAGATTCTTTGAATAATTCCCTTTAAACCAAGCAAATTACCTTCCAAACAAGTCAAAACAATGCCATATGAGAGCTGTGGGGGGAAAATGCTACTGAACACAAATCATTTCCACAAAAACAGACTTACAGCAAAACCCTAAAATGCGTAAGCAGATTCTCTTTTCCAGTACTTTTTAAAGATAGTTAAATAGCAGCCTTCACACCAGATGACACTTTTACAAATACTCCCAGATTAAGCAGCTCATGGTATGTGACAATATGTCAACACCCTTTCATAGAATATATACTTCTGCCTCACGTAATGGCAAGTATTCGAGTTTCAATGAATTCTCTACCACATGGATACAGAAAGCTCATCTCAGGGCGCAGCCCAGGAGTGAGGAAAGGGCCTTTAATCTACCACCCATCAACAGCTGAGGTCTAAGCAGGAATCCTTCCGTTTCCAGAAGTAAGTTTTATATAGAACTTTCTATTTTCCCACTAATATTGATTACACTAGAACTAATGTTGCCACAGAGGAAAGCAAGCAAGCAAGCAGATGAAGGGGAGACCACTGGGAAAGCTAAGAGGCCTTGCGGGGCCCCACCTCCCTACCCTAGCTCTTCCACTTCTGCCCGGTGGTCCTTTTAGAGTTCACTTCCATAAGCATGCCAAGCACACTTGCACATTAGGGTCTCCACGCACCCCTGTGCCCTCACCTGAATGCCTTCTCCCTCACGTCAGCTCTCTGCTAAACATGCCCCCTTCCCTGGCACGTTATCTACAACCGCACCCATCACACTACTCCATCTCCTACCCTCCCGGCTCTGTGACTACCAGATACTTCACCAGGTGTTTACTGTCCATCTCCCCAAAGCCTGGGGCTTTGCTTTGCTTGCTACTTTACTCTCAACACGGAGAAAGTGCTTAGCTCACAGGAGGCACTCAATATCTGTTAAATAAATGAACGACAAGCTACATCCAGCTCAGTAGGAGAGGAAAAGCTTTAAAACTGAAAAACATTCTTAGGATTGCTGTGCCAGGCGTAAGCATTCTGCAAAAATTTGCTATTTCCTGATATCAGGAATTTGCTTCTCATTTGCTTCTGATGAGGGTGTTTAATACCTAAGAGAGCTTTGCTCCTATAAATATGAATTCCTGAATAGGCATTCATATTTAAGTCTAAAAAAAAAAAAAAACAAACTCGTTGAATCTTGAGGTGTCAGATTCTTTAACATACTTGCCGCTTTGCATTGTGGACTCTGACAGCATTCAGGGCCTCCCCAGCTCTGTAAGTAAAGTAACTGCAGCAGTGTCCCTCCAGGAACATACTCAAGTGTCCTGTGCACACACAGCATGGGATGCGCCACCCTCTGTGGCAGCTGCAGACAGGAGAAGGTGTTCCTACAGGTCTGTTCCTTTGTGGGGCACTAAACGGGGTGAACTCCCACAATTCATGATTACCTGGAGTATGATCGGAGCCGGGGGCTCCCAGATGGAGTATCTGGACTTGTGCCTTTTTCCTTCCACCATAAAACTCAGTTATCACAACTGATCACTGCTCCTCCATCCTTATTTTATGAGCTAGAAAATCAAAGTACCCTAAATCCTAAACTGTCTGTTAAGCTTCTATAATTTGATCATTTACATGTGAAAACTATAGTTGAAAAGGGAAACAATGAAACAAACAAATGAGCAAACTGTGCTTTGCACAGCTGGAATGTGAAGATGATGAACTGTCACGTTACTTTACGGATAAAGTAACGAGGAACCACAGAAACCATACTTCTCTGACTCTCAGCAATGCTTGCAACCATTTGTAAATTCTTTAAAGACAGCTTCAACCAGGACAAATAATCAAGCTTTTTAGGCTGCAGTGCAGTGGTGTGATCACAGGTCATGGCAGCCTCAATCTCCAGGGCCCAAGCAATCCTCCCACCTCAGCCTCCCGAGTAGCTGGGCCTACAGACATGTGCCACCATGCCTGACTAATTTGGGGGCTTTTTTTTTTTTTGCCTTTTTTTTTTTTTTTTTTTTTTTTTTTTTTTTTGTTAGAGACAGGGTCTCGCTCTGTTGCCTAGGCTGCTCTCAAACTCCTGACCTCAAGCAATTCTCCTACTTTGGCCTCTCAAAGTGCTGGGATTACAGGTGTGAGCCACTACGCCAGGCCTTTAGTTCACATTGCTTTACTTGTTCCTTTCCCTTCTCACTTTTCTACCAATACTTTTCCAGATGTTGAACCAGGTCAGGCATGCAAGATACAAGTCACTAAAAAGCAGATTTTTGTGTCTGTGCGTCCATCTGTTGGAATTCGAGAACTACCTACACAGCAGACTACTGAGAGAGAAACCTTCCAAATGAAGCTGGAATTACTTGGAATATCTGCAGAACAACCAAGAGTGGGGAGGAAAGGGTGCGCCTGATAAAAATGAGTTAATCCAACCATCACAATCCTAGCTCTCCTCTGAGTCTTCCCCAATACACGTGGACCATACATCATCATGCTGCCTTTGAAGCTAAATGGAGGAACCTAGACACAAAGAATTGTGCCTTGGACCGTGTGGAATGGCACTCTGTTAAAAGATGAGATCCTGGCTTCACACTTGAATCAGTCCTGTGAAAACTGTGTGAATACTGAGAAGGGGGGGCAAAGAAAGATAAAAATGGATCTCACAGGGTAATGGAAAGCTGCCTGAACATCACAGACACTCTGCTCTTTAGAGAGCTTCAGTCCAAGACTACGAACCCGGTCACTCCTTTGATCCAATTCCAGCTGGACTAAAGAATGTACCACTGCAGTGTGTAGGCAGCATTTCTCAGGTGGTCACAATGTGGAGACCAGTTAGTAAGGGGAAGGTTACAAGCTCAGGAAAATGCAGCACTTACTGACAGCCACACACATTTATGTTACCTAAACAGTGTGTGCACTGGTGTCTGTGTGTGTGCATGTGTGCGCTGGTGTCTATGTGTGGGCATGTGTGCGCTGGTGTCTGTGTGTGCATGTGTGCGCTGGTGTCTATGTGTGGGCATGTGTGCGTTTGTAAATGTGTGATCCAAAGCACTTTAATAAGCACTCTATTTATTCCTTTGTATAAAGGACTGGAGGCCGGGTGTGGTGGCTCATGCCTATAATCCCAGCACTTTGGGAGGCCGAGGCAGGCACATCACTTGAGGTCAGGAGTTCGAGACTAGCCTGGCCAACATGGCAAAACCATGTTGCTACTAAAAACACAAAAATTAGCCAGGTACGGTGGAGAGTGCCAGTAATCCCAGCTAATGAGGAGGCTGAGGCACGGCAATCGTTTGAACCCGGGAGGCGGAGGATGCAGTGAGCTGAGATTGTGCCACTGCACTCCTGCCTGGGTGGCAGAGTGCACTAGATTTCTTTAAAGTTAACTGAATGAGAGCCAGGCATGGTGGTATATGCTGTATCACAGCTACTTGAAAGGCTGAGGCAGGAGGATCACTTGAGCCCAGGAGCTCTAAGGCAGCCTAGGCAACACTGCGTGACTCAGTCTCTTTAAAAAACAAGTGAAATACATACACAAATCAAATTAATTAAAAGAATGAGCGGTTCAAAACGGAGCCAAATATTCAAATTTCCTGCATTTCGTTGACTCAGTCGGTTAGCATTGTTAGATGGTATTTTTGTTCTTTTACCTGGAGAATTCCTTAACCTTTCTATTTGTGTAAAAGGTCAGAGGCTGTAACGTTCTGAGCTGTATAATAACAGTATGCATTCACCATTAATGTACTCAGAAGCCAACTCCCCTGAAAACCTTCCTTGCTCCTAAAGGCTAACTCAGACCCTCCTCTGGGCTATGGAGACATCCTGTGTGGCCTCCAGCAGCGCCCACCAGGACACCTACCTTACCTGTCTGTCCCTCAAGTCTGAGAACAAGTCAAATGCAGAGACTCTATTCTTGTCTTGCCACAGAACCTCCTATATTCCTGCAACCCTGTGGGTGGGTGCTCCATAAAGATTGAAAAATATTAAATGATCACATTTTATAGCCAAATATCATATACTATACTACAAGGTGCTATAAATCTCCCCTCAAAGGGTAGTTTCAAAAAAGACAGGTACTCAGCTGTTTAAGCAGAGGCCAGACAACCAATGTGTGGAGAATTCTGAATGTGTGGGTTGGGGGTGGGGCTGGGGGAGGCAGATGAGTAGTTCAGAAAGGTCTAGATAAAGCTTGCCCAATCCATGGCCTATGGGTCACATACAGCCCAGGATGGCTTCAAATGCGGCCCAACACAAATTCATAAACTTTCTTAAAACATTATGAGATTTTTTTGCATTTTTTTTAGATCATTAGCTATCATTAGCGTTAGTGTATTTTATTTGTGGCCCAAGATAATTCTTCTTCTTACAGTGTGGTCCATGGAAGCCAAAAGACTGGACACTGCTGGTGTAGATCTGTAAAGTCTTTCCCTAACCCTTTGGAAAAGCTGAAGTTCACCCTCCCACCTGTACCCCAAAGCAACTGAGAAGCAGCTTTCAACAAAATCACCACTTCCATCAAGAATGCTACAGAATGGGCCAGGCGAGGTGGCTCACCCCTGTAATCCTAGCACTTTGGGAGGCGGAGGCAGGTGGATCGCCTGAGGTCAGGAGTTCGAGACCAACCTGGACAACATGGTGAAACCCCGTCTCTACTAAAAATACAAAAATTAGCTGAGCATGGTAGCACATGCCTGTGTTCTCAGCTACTCAGGGGGCTGAAGCAGGAGAAGCAGAGATCACGCGCTATTGCACTCCAGCTTGGGCGACAAGAACGAGACTCTGTCTCTCAAAAAAAACAACAATGCTAAGGAATGTTATCTCAAACATCTGACCAGCCTGCAGGAAGAGGTCACTGATGTGTTTCCTTTTCATACCTCACCAAGGCCAACTAAAACCACACAACTTGTTGGGGCAGGGGGAGGATAAAATGAGTTATTATACGTGAAAAGCTCAGAAGCAGTTCCTGGCAAAGGATAAGCACTCAATAGCCTTAGCTCTTAAACATTTGTTTTCCATTTAGTTCAAATAAAGGTAAACTGAGACATTTCAGTGACAGTCGTTTTCCTTACTTCTGAAGTCTCCATTATATTATTCAGCCACTGGTGCAAATGAACCAACCTGAGAAATCACAATCCTCAAACAAACAAACCCTATATCCTCCTCTGCAAGTCTAGGTCTTTGCTTTAGTCGATGCAGCCAACGAGCCAGGTACTGCTTTCCCTAACCCCATTAGAAATCACCCAATGATGCCCATTCCTCCTCCAAAAGCTGTTTCTAATGTACACAGAAGCGTGGCCAGGAGGAAGAAGACAGAGGATATATTATCTTATTTACCTTGTTGGAGTGTTTTTTCTCTTCAGAAAAATGTCAGAAACTACCACAATTAACAGCATACTCCAGCACAGTTTGAGTCTTTAAGCAAGATGGACCATGTTCATCGACCAATTCTCATTAACTAATGTGCATCGACTGGTGTCTGAAAATAACATGTGCAAGTATGTTTCCTTGATAGTCAGGGTAAACAGTACTTAACTAACCACTTTCAGGGAGCTATAACAATATATTTCTTTAAAGAAGTGAAAATGAGCTGAGGCAGGAGAATCTCTTGAACCTGGAGGTGGAGGTTGCAGTGATCCAAGATCACACAACTGCACTCCAGCCTGGGCGACAGAGCAAGACTCCATCTCAAAAATCAAACTGAAAATATGTACAAATTCAGCATTTCTTAAATTGCAACAATGTTATCTCACTCAAGCAGATATTCTGCAGAGGTTCCTAGCTTCTAGGGGTCATCTACTCCTTTGAAAATGTAATAAAAGTTATGGGTCCGAGAAAAAGGTATATTAAACGTGCATGTACCTTTCATGAAATTAATGGGCTCTAGATTAGGACAGTTAGTCTAAAAAACAGATACTAACTCTATGTGTGCACTACCCTCCCCTACTGAAAAGACTACCATTCTCCCTTCATTAGCTACTGCCCGATTTATAGGCTCTTCCTGTTAAGGAAATGCCCTTTGAAACCGGGACAACTTTTAATATCAAAGGGCATGGCTTAGAAGAATGCATGCTGCAATACACAGCAAAATCCTACCTAAATTATTTTCCCAATATTATTAAATACTAATGTTAAATATTATTACACTAAATAAGTCTCCATCATGAAAAAGATACTTTATTACTTGCAAGGATTCACAGAAAGTCAGAGCAAGAAGTCAGCCATGTGATACCCAGTGCAGTCTGCAGAGCAAGAATTTCTCTGAATAAATCAGAATAACTGACAATTAGTCTAATTAGTCAACATGTAAGCTAAGGAAGGCTTCTGTAGGCTCGAGTAGGACCCTTTAAGAACAGTCTATCCTCTTAGTGATTTTAAACAGGGTAGCTCCTTCTCATTTGATTTGCCCCCTATACCCACATTAAGTCGCCTAATTCATGAGTAAACATCTAGTAGGAGCTCATGGAAGCCAATGAGCCCAGCCTCAGAAAAACACTGTTCTCAAATTCCGGTAGTCACCAAGTAAGGCTGCACTAAATATAGGGTCCCATTTCAGGTCCAAAGAAAAACAGCGTTTCATTCTCCTCTGATTGCACCTGGCCCCACTGTTGAGCACCTCACAAACCAGGGCAAACAATAGCTTTGAGGAGATGAGGCTGGGCCGACATCCAGGCCCCCAGGACAGCCATCTGTTCCTGACTGGCCTAACGCAACTCCCAGGAGCATCTCCCTGGCAAAGGGAACACGGTTCCCACGTGCGGTCTCCTGAGTGGCTGATGGGTCTGGAGTTGTATTAGAAACTGGGACTCCCAAAAAATGAAAGAGATCTTGCTAAGGAAGTTCGCCCACCTCCCCTCTAGTGGTAGAGAACTTGACGTAGGAGGCAGAAAAAAGGGAACAAGAACAAGAGCCTTCTGCAGCCACTTCACATTTCCCACAGTAGGACTGAGACAAAGAGCTCAGAAAGATCAAAACAACAAAGGTCCAAGGCTTCGTTTATCAAGCTCCCCAGACACAAGGAAAAAATATCAAAAACTGGAGAGCATGGTTCTCAAAGCAACACCAAGGCCTGATAACCTGGCTCACATATATTCATCCTTGTTCCTCACAGTTGCCCAAACCAGCCTTTCCCTTCCCACTTCACCATGGATGCTGTAGTCTGAGCCCACCAAGGCAGCTGCCAAACGGATGCCCTGCTGCTCCCCTTCCACCCCACTGCGCGCACAGCTGTCAAGGCAACCCTCCCAAGCAGACCTCACTTCTGCCTACCACTTCCTCAGCCCTTCAGTTCAGAGAAGAAAATTAGAGACCACTTGGTCTGGCACATTTCAAGCCCAAGAGCCCTGCATATGGCTGATGCTCACACACGGTCGAGTCAGTATAACAGAAACGAATCTAATACACTTTATGGTTTCTACACACGCTTAGCACTTCCTCACTACTTCCAAAATGAATTTGAGATGACTTAAAATAAAATGATTCTAAAAAACACAAGAATTAGACAAGAAGGAAAAGGAAAGTGAATTAGAAGCCCTTAACAGGCCAGGTGCAGTGGCTCCTGTCTGTAATCCCACACTTTGGGAGGCTAAGGTGGGAGGGTGACTTGAGGTCAGGAGTTCTAGATCAGCCTGGGTGACACAGCAAGACCACTTCACTACCACCTCTCTACAGAAAAGAATACACACACACACACACACAAAACCCCAGTATGGTGGTGAGTGCCTGTAGTCCTACCTAGTCAGGAGAATGAGGTAAGGGTTGATTACAGGGGTTCGAGCCTGCAGCGAGCTATGATGGTGCCACTGCATTCTAGCCTGGGTGATAATGAGACACCCCCATCTCTATTAAAATTTTTAAAAGCCCTAAATAAAGGAAGGTTTCCAATATATAATTTTTTAAAAAAAGCCTAGGAACTTCCTGGAAGATGAAAAGAATATGGAAATAAAATTATGTTAAAGCTTTCACTAAATAAAAGCATTTCGGGTAGGGTGCAGTGGCTCATGCCTATAACCCCAATACTTTGGGACTTTCGGAGGTCAAGGCAGGAGGTCAGCTGGAGCCCAGGAGTTCAAGACTGGGCAACTAGAAGTCTTAGCTAATTTATTTATTTATTTTTTTAGAGATCTCATCTCTAAAAACAATGAATGAATAATCAGCTAAGCCTGGTAATGCACACCTGTAGTCCCAGCTACTCAGAAGACTGAGATGGGAGGACTGTTTGAACCCAGGAAGTCAAGGCTGCAGTGAGCCATAGCCCTCCAGCCTGGGCGACAGAGTGAGATCCTGCCTCAACAACAACAAAAAAAAGAATTTAGGAAAAAAATCCTCCTAACTTTAAAAGAAATTTCTCCCATGGAACTGAGCATTGGAGAATAAACAACATGCTCAGTCTCCTCAGTAACTGTTTTTAGTTTTAAAATTGTGGTAACACAGTCCTCAAAGGTTCCCTCTCTGCTCAATTTCCCCATTGAAAACTAAAGGCTCAATGCTAAATGCTACTTTAGAAAGACACCTCTAGGACCAGACCGCCACACCTCCAGATGCGCTGCTTTCCAGTAACCTAACATGACTCCAGGGTAGCAGGATAATGAGGATTTAACAATTGGCCCTCTGGCTAGTCTGCCGGCTGTGAATTATCTCAACTTACTGTTGCAAACACAACTTCTCATTCTCTTCCCTCTTCTCACTACTACACTTGAAAGTAGTAGTCTTAAAAAAATAATAATGCTGGATGTGAGTGGCTCATGTCTTTAATTCCAGCACTTTGGGAGGCCGAGGTGGGCAGATCACCTGAGGTCAGGAGTTCAAGACTAGCCTGGCCAACACGGTGAAACCCCGCCTCTACCAAAAATACAAAAATTAGCCAGGTGCAGTGGCACGTGCCTGTAATTCCAGCTACTCGGGAGGCTGAGGCAGGAGAATCGCTTGAACCTGGGAGGCGGAGGCTGCAGCTAGCGGAGATCGTGCCACTAAACTCCAGCCTGGGCGACAGAGTGAGACTCAGTGTCGAAAAAAATAATAATAAATAAAAAGTCCTCCTCTGGAACATAAACTATCTCATCCAAAATCACTAAGGCAATTCAAAACTGAGACCTTGACAGACCCTGGGAAACAGCTGTCCATGAGGCTTGAGGACTCAAAGCACGGCATTTCTACACAAACACAGTACACCTGAGTGCTGCGTCTGCGCCCACTCCTCATACTTGCAGTTCTTTGCCAGGAAGGCAGTGTTCCTGACACCATTTTAGCCTGTTTTAGAATAATCACTTCAATTAATTAAGGCTGGTTTCAATTCTATCTTCCTGGTCGTTAGAAGCATTTATCAGATTAATATCATCTGCAGACCTCATCAACACCAACATCATTGCTAACTGAAGGTTTTCAGCTCTGACCAAGTCACAACATTTAGCGTAAGAAGAAAAGGACAGAAACAGAGTAGGCTTACAGCGTTTCTTAAGTGTAATGTACAAATAAGCACCTGCAGATCTTGTTAGACTACAGGACCTGGTTCTGTCGGTCTGGGAGGGGCTGAGATTTTTGCAGTTCTAACAAATGTCAGGTAATGCCAATGATGCTGGTCCTCCGACACAATTTGAGTAGCAAGGGACTAGACAGTGCCTATTAGTTTTTAATTCTGCTGGATCTGGTTCTGGGTGAGCACAGTGAAAGGAAAAGTAGCAGCCTAGAATACTGATGAATCAAATCCTGCCAATTCCCAATTTGTGGGAACCGGTACCTTCAATTAACAACAGCGTGAAACTAAGAACGCATTTTGTCATCGAAAGAGTATCAGAATATCTGAGGTGTTATTAACTAATCTGCCTGGAGGGAAACACAAAAAACAATGGCAGGTGGTGGAAAGAGATGAGAGGGAAGAAAAGCAAGCAGTGCTGTGGAGGAGGCTGTGGAGAGTGCTCAGGCCCCCGTCCGGCACCTGTCGCCATGGGTGGGCATTTGCGGAGCCCTTACGGGAGACATCGGAGGGAGAGCTCAAGCTGCTATGTTTGCAAGAGGGGTGTTTATAACTCGGGAGGCCTATCATCCTCACACAGTGAACAGTAAATGAGAGGAGAAGACGCCTACCAAAACAGGATCAGAGCCAAGGCTTCGAACTGGTATGTAAGGGAAAACCTCACCACACCACAGGGGTCCTAGGATTAAACAGGACAGACTAGGATATTTTCCTTAATGCAATGGAAATGAGCCCTGTCCTTATAACCCGAGACACAGCCTCGTCCGCACTGCCGCTCACGTGCTGCAACTTACGGAGCACGCCTAAAGGCTCTGCCTTCACTTTGCTCATCTGTAAAAGAAAGATCATTAGGACCGACCTGACACAGTTACTGTGAGGATTAAAACTGATAATACATACAGCACAGACATATAGGAAGCTTTTAATAAACAGGAGCTATTCTATTTTTCTCCACTGCTTTCTCACAAAGCAGTGGCACAGGCTGTTCCATTCCTACTATAATGTCCTCTAATTCAGTGAAAGTTTTTCAGTCCCCTCTCATAGTTTGCTGCTATTTTTCTGACTCTGAAGCAAATTAGTATATACACCAAAACCTTAAATACGTAGGCAAAATCTAACCATCATAAAAATACGAGTTATTTGGAAGCATCTATACACAGTACACACAGCTATATCATAGCCAGATCCTGCAATAAAGCCAAGTATATACGCCTCTGTTGGTCAACAGCTGCAAGATGGAGACGGTCTCATTAAGGAAACAGCTCGACATAGCAGGAAACAACGTGGATAGGACATACTGATAGGGAGAGCAAAAACTAGCTGAATTATCATTATGAATACATATGTGCATGTGTGTTTGTACACATATATATGTATATGTAGTGTGTGTGTGTGTGTGTGTGTGTATAATCCTTATGTGGGCTTCAACATTCAGGCAGCAAGGCTTGCCCGAGAGTTGAGAGCTCACACGTGCTCCTAGCACCTTTATCTCCCTATATTCAAATGTCTTACCCACTTTAATTAGAAAAAGACTGAATATAAACATAGAATCAATAATTGAACACATATTTTAAACTCTCACTGGACTCGCTAGTTTTCATCAGCTCTTCCCCTCCGAGTCTCACCAGGACCTGCTTTAGCAAAACTGACTTCATGTTTCTGCATCCTGTGGTTTCTCATGCCCACTCTGAGAAGTGAAGAAAAGTTGAAAGCAAGACCTCAGAGAGGGAACGGAATGAGCCAGCCTCCTCCAGATAAGTGAGCTCTAAATCACATTTATTTATAACTTTAACACAGCCAATTTTTTGAAGTACACGATTTCTGGTTTCTCCCAAATAACCATTAAAAAAATTTAAAAACATAAAAAACAGCCTTCCCTGGGTAAAGATCTTTAAAATGCTGGCACTATTCATACACACCGGAAGGTCTCTGTCCTCCACTATTTCCCCGACTGCCAACTACTCAGCTGTGGCCCTGGCCCTGACCCTCATCCTCATGCTGCCCAGAGTCCCTCCAAATAGGTTGTAAGCTCAGTGCCCTCATCCCCATATCTTTCTGCCCACTATCTATCTGCAGCCTTAGAGGACCAAATCTATACTGGCACAAAAATATAAAATGTTAAGGACAGCAACTCGAGCAGGGAAGGTGCACCAGGGAAACGGCCAGGCCTGTAGGCAAGTCCGGTGGAGGAGCCAGCAATTCCTGTTTATCCAAAGAAAAAACCCATTCCTCAAGGGCAGGCTGCAGGCGCTGGCGAGGACACAGTGAGAGGAGGAAGAAACCGTTCTCTCTCTGTAGGCAAAACTTCAAGTCTCCCATCTTGCAAATCTAAGCTTGGTTTGTTTTCTTCTTAAACATTCTCACACTCGTAAAGGTAACTGTGTTTACTATGCGGGGGAAATTTTTTATTTTCAGAAAACATTGTGGGAGGTAAGCTCAGCTCATCCACAGTGTTTTCGGACTTCTTACTGACCAATTTAGGAGAAGAGCTTCTCTGAGTTCATCACATGCTGCTATCCACTAGAGGACAGAAGCAGGATTAAATGAAAACCTTCACAAAAGCTTTTTGCAACTCAAAAAGGGAAACAAGGGTTTCTTCTCCTCTCTACTCATTCCCCTCCTCTGGCTTTTTTTTTTTTTCTTAACTGAGTCATGCAAAGGAAATTTCAGGCATTGGCAGAACAGAGGTGGGACAGTACAGAGATCGGCCAGTTGTTCCTTAAATAATGCAAATCTCCTACAACCTGACAACATTTCCAGCTGTTTTCACTAATTTCTCAGGAGAAAGCAAACAAACAAAAAAGACAAAAGTAATTTGAAAGCTGGGGATGGAGAATTCCAAAAGCTACCCCCATAGTAATACTGAATGACCAAATGAATAAAACAATATAAACTCTAAAAGGAAAGTTTCCACATCGGAATATTAATCTGCCAACCAAATGAGTGACCTCAAAGAGACTTGAACACTTGAGTTTAAAAAAAACAACAACAAAAAATAAGTTAGGCATTAAATGAAAATTCCAGAGTTATTATGGGTGTGGCCCTGAAGGAAATTTACTTTCTTACATCCATGGAGTTTTGCCTTTTTAGAAGCTGATGTTTTGCAATCATCCTGGCTATTTTCCCAGAAGAAAAAAAAATTTTTTTTGGTGGAACAAGTGGAAGGATGCCTAAAATTTGGAAATCACCCTTGGTATCTTAACCAGAGAAAAGGTCTCAGGTCTCTTGTCTTGGGGAATATACACTCCTGTACTGAAGCAGTCACACAAAATGTCAGCAAGTTTATGACACACAGAAGCCCAGCCCTCGGGGAGGCTGCTGCCAGGAGTTCTATAAATCTTGGGTGCTCTGAAGTTTATGGGAGCACACCCAGATGCAAGGGGGTGAGAGGAGATGTGGACAGGATGGGACAGAGAGGTTTTAAACCCTTCACCTTGACAAGATGTCTTATTCTGCAAGTGTTTAATTTAGAATGCATATCATCAGCAATAGCTAGATTTGAAGTTCCACGTGCACAGGACACTATTTCACCCTTTTGTTGTTACATTGCCTCCCACAAGACCTAGCACACGATATATGTGATGGATGTCAAACTACTTTTATTAAGAGAAAAATAATGTCCCAGCAGTTTGACAGGCAGCTAATCCCTCCAAGGGACAAAATCAGCGGCTGGTAAGCAAGAGTGGGATGAGAGAATCACGGCTTCAAAATCGCCTTGGAGGTAACTTTCAAACTACGTAACCCCTGCCCCTCTAAGATCATGACGCACCCACAGGGGTTAGGCCTCTTTCTCCTTGTAAACTAAGGGTGCCATTGTTTCTGATGGGTATCATATATCTATTAGGTGCATACCTTTGCAGGTTGGGGGGATGGATGGCTAATGATTTACAGCTTTCACAATAGAACCTTCAGATGGGAGGAGGGGCAGGCACCTGGATCTGATGGGTGGGGGTGGCAACTGCGGCTTAACTGCTTTTACAGCTCGTCATCTAATGCTCTTCTTTTCAGCTCTATAGCCTACAGCTGATGCAGGACCTGGGGCTTCCAATTCCTGGACTTCTCGGGACTTTATGGAGTGACCTGGCTCACTTACAGCTATCCTTTTTGAGACCCTTAGAGTTCAGCTTCCCCCAGTTAGCCACATGAGGGACTCCTTCCAAAAACGTGCTGACGGCAATTAACTGCTGCGGTCTCCTTTCCTATTCTCCTATCTTTGAGGTGCCTAATGTCTTTCTCAGTCCACTGCCTTCTCACTTTAGAGACACTTTGAAAAAAACTAAAGATGCATATGTGACAACCCACCATGTTTTTACTTTTTGTTTGTTCTGTGTTTTGAGACAGAGTCTTGCGCTGTCACCCAGGCTGAAGTGCAGTGGCGTGATTTTGGTTCACTGCAACCTCCGCCTCCCGGGTTCAAGTGATTCTCTGGCCTCAGCCTCCAGAGTAGCTGGGATTACAGGTGCCCGCTGCCACAACCGGGCTAATTTTTGTATTTTTAGTAGAGATGGGATTTCACCATGTTGGCCAGGCCGGTCTCAAATTCCTGACCTCAGCCCGCCTCGGCCTACGAGGATGCTGGGATTACAGGCGTGAGCCACCACGTGAGCCTCAACCAACCATGTTTTGTAGAAACCATTTTAATTGATTTAACGTCTTCCCTGCCAGATCCCAAAAGAACAGAAATCACACACATCTTATTTATATATGCTCCCAGAACTTAGTGCAATCTAGGCCTATGGTAGATATTTTAGTATTTGTTGAATAAATGAATCATTTTAAAAGTGTACAAATCACATAACTTTAAGTTTTCAAAGGATCTTCAGCTTCCTAGGTTCTCGTCTCTCCGGGTCCTGTATCTCTCCATCTTCTTGTGGAACCACATTTAAAGCTCCAGATTAATACTCTCCTTCTCAAAAATCCCTAGAGCAATGGCTTTCCTATTTTTCTGACTGCAATCCAAAATATCTCTTACATTGTAATTTGCTCTATCCTCTCATATAGCTAGTGAAAATAAATTTCATGGAGCAATATTTATCCTTACCACATGGAATGTCCTCTAATATCTACTATTCTATTTTAGCTCACCTCCTAAAAAATGCTGGCCACCATTCACTAAATTGAATTCACAACCTACTAATAGGTGATCAGCTACAGTTTGAAAAACTTTTCTATTCAACCTTTCTTTCAAGCTGCAGCTTGGATCTGGTGGCCTCAGGGACAGCCTTCCCTGACTCCTTAATTAGGTCTACATGGTATAGGATCCTTCTACATTTTTCTGTGGTAGGCCTGGATCTGTGGGATAGGCAAGACATCTAGGGGATCAGAGCACATATGCCCACACAAAAACTTGTGTGAATGCTCACAAGAGCATTATTCACACAGCCAGAAGGTGGAAACAACCCACTATTCCTATTAGTGAAGGAATAGATTAAAAAAAAAAAAAAAAGTTCTGGCTAGGCGCGGTGGCTCACACCTATGATCCCAGCACTTTGGGAGGCTGAGGCACGTGGATCATGAAGTCAGGAATTTGAGACCCACCTGGCCCAGATGGTGCAATTCTTTCTCTACTAAAAATACAAAAATGAGCCAGGCACAGTAGCGGGAGCCTGTAACCCCAGCTACTCTGGAGGCTGAGGCAGGAGAATCGCTTGAACCAGGGAGGCAGAGGTTGCAGTGAGCCGAGATCACACCATTGCATTCTAGCATAGGTGACAGAGCAAGACTGCCTTAAAAAAAAAAAAAAAAAGATGTGGTATATTCATACAATGGAATATCATTCAGCCATGAAAAAAAAATGAAGTTCAGCCCATGCTACAATGTGGAGGAACCTTGAAAATATTATGCTAAATGACATAAGCCAGACACGAAGGCCACATATTATATAATTCCATTAATTCCATTTATATAAAATATCTAGAATAGGCCACTCCATAGAGACAGAAAGTAGATTAGGTATTGCCAAGGGCTGAGAAGGATAGGCAGACTGAGGACAACAGTTAAAGGAAAGAGGCTTCTTTTTGGGGTTTTAAAAAAAAAGAGGCTCTAAAATTGATTCCAGTAATAGATGCACAACTCTGTGAACATACTAATAGCCAGTGAGTTGTACACTTTAAACAGGTGAAATGTATGGTACGTGAATTACTTTTTTTTTCTGAGATGGTGTCTTGCTCTGTCACCCAAGCTGGAGTGCAACTGCACGATCTCAACTCACTGCAACCTCCGCCTCCTGGGTTCAGGTGACTTTCAAGTGCTGTGATTACAGATGTGAGCCACCATGCCTGGCCTGAACTACATCTTTAATAAAGCTGTTTTTAAGAGAGTGGCTAAAAGGCTGGGCAAGGTGGGTCACACTTGTGACCTGGCACTTTGGGAAGCCGAGGTGGGCAGATCGCCTGAGATCAGGAGTTCAATACCAGCCTGGCCAAGGTGGTGAAGCCCAGTCTCTACTAAAAATGCAAAAATTAGCTGAGTGTAGTGGCAGGTGCCTGTCATCCAAGCTACTCGGGAGACTGAGGTAAGAGAACTGCTTGAACCTGGGAGGTAGAGGTTGCAGTGAGCAGAGATCTGGCCACTGCACTGCAGTCTGGGCGACAGAGCGAGACTCGGTCTCAAAAAATGAGAGACAGAGAGAGAGAGAGGCTACGCTCATACCTGTAATCTCAGCACTTTAGGAGGCTGAGGCAGGAAGATCACTTGAGCCCAGAAGTTCAAGACCAGCCTGGGCAACATAGTGAGCCCCTGTCTCCATTTTAAAAACGAAAATGAAGAAAAACCTAGGGGAGACCTGGAAAGTGGACTAAGTTACAGGAGGCAGGTGCAGAACCGATCTTATCCCTGGCTTCTCGCACAAGGCCCACATGCATGGCAAAGGCTCCATAAGCATTTGCTGAATTAATAATTGATTCTATGACAATGAGTGGATGGGCTGTTTCAGCCACATAAAGCTTCCACCTTAGGGCATCCCCGCGTTAACCACTCAAAGAAAGAAAACTAAGTCCACCTTCCCTTACAAGATATCTAATACTCCTGATAATTATAAACTGAAGGATTTTTTTAAAAGCAAGAAAAATACTATGTTTCCCTATTAAACTTTAAAAAATATGGTTGTACAATGGTCTGTGTCATGGAACCTCACATGAAATTCGGTTAATAAAAGCTTTCTCGGCCGGGCGCGGTGGCTCAAGCCTGTAATCCCAGCACTTTGGGAGGCCGAGGTGGGTGGATCACGAGGTCAAGAGATCAAGACCATCCTGGTCAACATGGTGAAACCCCGTCTCTACTAAAAAATATTTAAAAAAAAAATTAGCTGGGCATGGTGGCACATGCCTGTAATCCCAGCTACTCGGGAGGCTGAGGCAGGAGAATTGCCTGAACCCAGGAGGCGGAGGCTGCGGTGAGCCGAGGACGCGCCATTGCACTCCAGCCTGGGTAACAAGAGCGAGACTCTGTCTCAAAAACTAAATAAATTAATAAAAGCTTTCTCAGGCACAGTGATAAAGGAGTGCTGTTGAAAACTGTGTTGCTCAAAATGTTATCATACTCCGCAGCTGACTACAACCTTAAACTGATATTTTAAGCTTAATTCCTGCAAAGAGAGTTTCAGCTCCGCTATGGACGACAGCCAACCACTGAAAGAGACAAGAAATAAGGGCTCAGAGAAACTGAGAACACAAAAGCAATGCACTTTTATGTCTGTTAATAAAAGGAGAACTTTATATCCAAGTGAAACATGTAGCTTAATCTGCACACAGCTATTTTTTAGCCTAAGCACAACGGGATGGCTACCATGTTTAAAATCTTACGACCGGTCAGGCGTGGTGCCTCACACCTGTCATCTCCAAGCTTTGGGAGGCCAAGGCAGGCAGATCACCTGAGGTCAGGAGCTTGAGACCAGCCTGACCAACATGGAGAAACCCCATCTCTATTAAAAATACAGAATTAGCTGGGCGTGGTGGTGCGTGCCTATAATCCCAGCTACTCAGGAGGCTGAGGCAGGAGAATCACTTGAACCCAGGAGACGGAGATTGCCAAATCACACCACTGCACTCCAGCCTGGGCAATAAGAGCGAAACTCCATCTCTAAATAAAGTCGTATCGGTGTCTGTTTGAATGCCAACATACACAGCCACCTGCCGTAACAACACATGCGTGCTATAAGTGACCCGAGAGGTAAAAATTCTGGTTGTCTATTAAAAACAAAACCAACAACCAAAATAACCCACCTTTCACCTGTCCCTCACTTGTCAAAAAAGAGGCTTAAACTTCAGACTTACATGCCTGCAGAGTGGACTCCCAAAAAAGCAATGTCTAAACAAAACAAAGACCAACACGGCACAGAACTACTCTAACAATAGCAACTCTCTTCCCACAGTGTTTCAGCTCCCAGTGGAAGCCTTTCCCCAATGTCAGAATACTTCTCTGTTTCCTCCCTTCCTCTAACATTTATTTTTAATAGCAGGAATACTTTTCATTCCATAACCAAGAGAAATTAACAAATAATATCAGATCTCAACTTTAGCAAAACAAAACATGGAAATAATTCCAATGTGTTTCTTGTAAACAGATTTCTTTTTTAAAAACAATACTTTAGAATATGTTGTACTTCTAATCAATTTATCAAGAAATGTTTATTGCTGTATAAAGTACAAAGAAGGTGGTCAATGGAGGCGAATGCAGATCAGGTGAAGGAACTTGTGGTAAAGTAGGGAACAAACACAGGTAGCCAAACGACAGACATTCGGGAAAGACGAGTAGTAAGTTCCACGACAAAGTTCCAAACTTTAAATTAGAAAAGTGAACAGACTGTATTTGTGAATACTCTTACAAGCACAGGTACTACTGCCCAGTTTCAAAATAACCAGGGCAGCCAGACGTGGTGGCTCATGCCTGTAATGTCAACACTTTGGGAGACCAAGGCAGGCAGATCAGCTGAGGTCAGGAGTTTGAGACCAGCCTGGCCAACATGGTAAAATCCCGTCTCTACTAAAAATACAAAAAAAAACTGGCTGGGCGTGATGGCAGCCACCTGTAATCCCAGCTACGCAGGAGGCTGAGGTAGGAGAATCACTTGAACCGGGGAGGCAGAGGATGCAGTGAGCTGAGATCACGCCATTGCATTCCAGCCTGGGTGACAAGAACAGGACTTCTTCTCAGAAGAAAAAAAAAAATGACCAAGGCACTGCAGGGAACAGGTGGTTAAATACAGAAATGCCATACGATCCAGCAATTCCACTCCTTAGTATATACTCAAAAGAACTGAAAGCAGGAGCTCAGATACAGCAATGTTCAGCAAGACAGCAATGCTCACATCACCACTCACAGCAGCCAAAGAGGAAAAGCAGTTCGAAGGTCCAGTGAAGTACGAATGACTTTTTAAAAATCTGTTATATGCATACAACAGAATATTATTCAGGATTAAAAAGGAATGAAGTTCCAACACACGCTACAACATAGAGGAACCTTGAAAACATGTAAATCAGCAGTCACCAACCTTGTTAGCACCACGGACTGGTTTCCTGGAAGACAACTTTTCAGTAGAAGCGGGGGTAGGAGGGACGGTTTTGGGATGAAAACGTTCCACCTCAGATCATCAGGCATCAGTTAGATTCTCTTAAGGAGCATGCAGCCTACACCTCCTGCATGCACAGTTCACAACAAGGTTCTCGTACCTGTAAGAATCTGAGGCTACCGCTGATCTGACAGGAGGTGGAACTCAGGTGGTAAGGCTCACTTACCTGCCGTTCACCTTGTGCTGTGTGACCCGGGTTCCTAAAAGGCCATGGACCAGTACCGATCTGTGGCCCTGGGGTTGGGGACTCCTCTGCTACTGCTAAATGACACAAGCCAGACACAAAAGGCCATGTATTATATAATTCTTTTTTTTTTTTTTTTTGAGACGGAGTTTCGCTGCTGCTTCCCAGGCTGGAGTGCAATGGCACAATCTCGGCTCACCGCAACCTCCGCCTCCTGGGTTCAAGCAATTCTCCTGCCTCAGCCTCCCGAGTAGCTGGGACTACTGGCGCGCACCACAATGCCCAGCTAATTTGGTATTTTTAGTAGAGACGGGGTTTCACTTTGTTGACCAGGATGGTCTCGATCTCTTGACCTTGTGATCTACCCGCCTCAGCCTCCCAAAGTGCTGGGATTATAGGCATGAGCCACTGAGCCCTGGCCTATATAATTCCATTTACATAAAACTTCCCAAATAGGGATATTTTCTGTTTCCACGGAAACAGGAAGTAGATTAGTGACTGTCAGGGGCCAATGAGGAGTCCGTGTTTAACTGATAACAGTTTCTGTTTGGGATGAAAACTTCTGGAAAGGGATAGGTTGCATAACATTACGAATATACTTAATGCCAATGAACACGTATTTATTAATAACGGCTAAAATCGTAAATTTTATGTTACGTATACTTAATGGCAATTACTTTTAAATGAAAAAAGGGGTATTTTTAATGGCTGAGATGTACAGTGGCTTGATGAACATGTCTTCAGGGGGAGAGGCAGACACAGGCCTGACCTTCCCCGCCACGCAGCTCTTAGGCCAGTAATCTATAGATCAGCTACACATCAATAAAGGATAGCAGTTCTCTCCCAGTACGCAGAAGAGAAACGTCGTACTGCTTTATTATGTGCACCATCAGCTAGCAGGGACCACTTAGAAAAAACTTCAGAAGAAATTACCCAGAGTTCCCATGGGATGCAGGCAACTCACTAAAATTTAAGAGTCCAAAAGCTGAGGATGAGACAATTCTAAGAACTGCAGGCCATGTTACAGAAGGGAAGAGTGTGAATCACCTGCCTCATCAACTTGCTATTTGCTCAGCAACATTCATGTCCCTTAACACAAAGATACTATTTAGAGGCAAACTCCACAATTCACCTGAAAAACAAACCAAAAAAGGCCATGGACTGTCTTCCCTTTTGAAAACCAAAGAAAGGAAGACTCTGAAAAGAGAAAACTCTTCATGTATTATTAACTGAAAAGGCCATGCCGTTTTCTCCTATAATTTTAAAAGCTCTTACTCTCACAATATTCCTGGAAAAAGGCTTTTTCAGCCCCACACTATTAACTAAAATTGCAGAACTAAGAACGTTTTAAAGCATTAGCACTAACCCTCAGGACTCCTGATTCTCAAGTTCCTGAAACTAGAATGGCTCTTTAAATGCCCATGTATCTGTCCCCCAAGAGACAGGCAGACAAAGTCCATTGCCTTCTGCCACCAGGACAGCAGGGAGAGAATTCTTCTCAGAGTTATATTCAGAAATACAAAAATCAAACCTTGCTAAACATGTTCAAAAAAGCTTCTCACATCTCTACTGAAACTAAAAAGTAACAAACCTAGCCAACAACCAAAACGGACAGACCTCCTAATTGGATTTTAACCTCATGAAAATGATATTTACTCAATCCTAGAACATAGAACCAATCCAAACAGTCACTGTGGGACACAACTGTCCTTACCAACTGCTCTGTCCTGGCCTCACTAACAGAAGTTTTAAGTTATTAACAGTAAAGTTGTGACATTTAATAAGCTCTAGCTAAAATACATCATTTGATATATGAGCAAGGAACATAGTAAATTTCAGATTCTTAGACCAAAGGACGTATTTTCCAATTTGAATGCTCTATAGCAGGTGTCCCCAACCCTGGGCTGTGGATCAGTACCGGGCTGTGGCCTGTTAGGAACCAGGCCGCACAGCAGGAAGTGAACAGTGGGTAAGCGAACATTACCACCTCAGCTCTGCCTCCTGTCAGATCAGCAGAGGCATTAGATTCTCATAGGAGCATGAACCCTACTGTGAAATGCAAATGATAGGGATCTAGGCTGCACCCTCCTTATGAAAATCTAATGCCTGATGATCTGAGGTGGAACAGTTTCATCCTGAAACCATCCCCCCACCCACCTGGTCTCTGGAAAAGCTGTCTTCCACAAAACCAGTCCCTGGTACCAAAAGGTTGGGGACAGCTATTTAGGGGACATCATAGTTAAGAGGACAAGCAATCTTTACTTGAACTTACCCAGTTGCAAGGAATTCAATCCCCCACCCTCACAAATGAGCACATTCTATGAGTGGGCAGCTCTATTAGGAAGATTATTCTGTGTTTCAAGCCAATACTCATTCCCCTGTGGTTGAGGACCATAGACAATAAATCTATGTCCTCTTTTCTGCAATGGCCCTTCCATGTGTGAGTGCAGCTCAGCAACTGTGCAGGAGGCAGTCCCTAATACAAACTGCATGCAATCAACAAGAGTAAATGATTTAAGGAATCTTTCCCAACACCACTTCACCAGATTTCTAAAAAAGAACGATCTGAAATTACCTTAGACATTTATAATGAGGAGACTAACCTTATCTGACTTGTTCTTCTCAAGTCAAACCCAACGAAGAAGTTCCCTGGACAAAGGACTTCTCTGGAGTTATTCCAATCCATTCCCAAGTCACCACCTTCTTCCTTTAAAACACGTGTCCTTTACAAACAGATGGTGCTGAACAATTGTTAAATGGAATGTTTTAATAATCTTCCCAAAAGTAGGTTGGGTGATTCTGTCTTGTTCACCCAGTATTTGACATATATTTTTTCAGTTGGCTAACCTGTAAAGCGTCAAAGCAGATATGGCATATTCTAAAACACAATTCCTTTGTGTAAATGATAAAACACTAAAATAACTTGTCAGCTTTTCTCCAAGTTCCCCGGAACACTCAGTGTCCTGTGAGATGGTAACTGACACTTCAGGAAATGTACAACATATGCTAAGTATAAGAACACCAAAGGTTCTAAGAATAGAGAAATGCAGAAACTTGGTTCAGTCTGGAAAGCACAGGGTCAAAGGCCTTGAGCACGGCGCACTTCTCACCCAGCACACCTATTCACACCTTCGGGAACAGGGTCTGTTACCTCCCCAATTTAGGAAATCGTTTTAGAGCTGCCCAAGGCTTCTGATTTGTGTGCTAAAAAGGGCTGCTCCTGGAATCAATGGGAAATGAGATGCTTTCTAGTTTTTTACCCAACTGTGGAGGAAATGTTAGGTGCCAGTCTTACTTTTTAAAAATAATAAAATCATGCAGTATAATTTTATCACACAGAAGAAATGAAGTGTCATCACTGAAAGCCTGAGAAAACCAATCTTTTCATTCAATCGTAAACAAATCTCACAATGGGGAAAAACATAACAAAGGAGAAGCCTATCACCAGCCAAAAGCTGAGAGTACATGCAGTTTCTCTCTTATCTAAATGAGGAGCCCAAGCCCTCGCAAACAGAAAACAAATCTCTCTCGGACATAACTTGCAGAAAAGGAAACAAGAGAGGCAGCTCATTTGCACTGTGATTCACATTCCTGAGACAGTGGTACCAACACTACTCAGTACCACAGCAGGAGACAGGACGCCCTTTCTCCTCAAGGATCTGTAATCTCCTCGGTTAGTTGTTGAGGGTAATAGGAAGCAGAGCTCAGATGAACTAGTCAGAGAGCATTTAATGGCTCTCCAGACGGCACTAATCAGTCTGACCAAAGCAGAGTTCAGTTCAAGTGCCGAGATGGGCGGCTGTTTGCAGCTGGCCATTCTCCTTCCCTCCCAGCATCGCTCTTATTGATCCCTGCACCTTGCACAAAGCTAAATTAAAGATGGGCTACGTCAGATAAGGCTGCTGAGTAAAGAGACTTGCCCGGCTCCTGAGGAAAATAGTTTGGGCTTAAAATTTGTACTCTAGGCTGAGTGACTTACTGGGTAAATATTCTGTGTATATCTCAAAGAGATTGCTTTCAGAGGTACTTTTCTTCTTCTTCTTTTCCTCCTCCTCCTCCTGCTCCTCCTCACCCCCCTCCTCCCTCCTCTTCCCACTCCCCTCCTCCTCCCCTTCCCCATCCCCTCCTCCTTCTCCTCCTCTTCTTTCTTCTTTTTAAGACAGTGTTGCTTTGTAGCCCAGGTTGGAGTGCAGTGGCTCGATCTTGGCTTACTGCAACCTCTGCCTCCCAGGTCCCAGTTGAAGCAGTTTTCAGCCTCCTGAGTAGCTGGGATTACAGGCATGTGCCACCATTCCTGGCTAATTTTTGTATTTTTAGTAAAGATGGGGTTTCACCATGTTGGCCAAGCTGGCCTTCAACTCCTGACCTCATGATCTGCCCGCCTCAGCCTCCCAAAGTGCTGGGATTACAGGTGTGAGCCACCGCGCCCAGTGGGTAGAGGTACTTAATATAAAAGTACAATAGGTAAACAGTCCTGGACTCTCGAGTAGTTTACAGTCTCCTCAAGGATACCAGGTTGAAGAATAAGAGAATCCCTATGCTCTTGGTCAGGCCCAAATATTTTAAGCTGGCCTTGAAGACAAGCACTGGACCACTCCCAGAATCTATTACCCTATGGAACTCAGCCAACCATCTGAGCAACAATGTAACGTATTCGTATCTTCACTCATTTCCCTCTGGATTGATTTGTGTCACAGACTCCAGTGGATTTACTGCATGAAGGTACTTGCATAATTTCCCTGGTTCTAAGAGGAAAGATAGGAAGAAGAGGTGACCAGCTGGACAGGGTCAATGGCAATCATTCAAAATTGAACAATTTCCTGAGACTCACCGAAGTTTCAGAGCGTCACTCACAAGGCTGATTTCAACGCTCTATTGCATCTATTTTTAATGGTTTTTTAAAGGCTTTTCAAACTCTTAGCATCTCCCTCAAAAGAAATGGTACCCAGAGTCTCTAACAGGAAATGTTAAGAGAAAGGGTACCAGAGGCAAAGCAACACATCTCTGGAATATATATGGTGAGCTGGCTTATTTGGTCTGATCTAAAGAACTGAGTGGAGCAGGGCCTGAGGTTCTCTGCAATACTCTCTATGCAGCTTTCTTCTGGGAAAGTCAACCCATCAACAAGCTGAAAGAAAAGGCTTCTATCTCCCATTTGCTCCTGTATTACAGATTTCAAGGGTGCGTACAGTGTGTTTTTAAATAAAGAGGCAGAGGCGACCCAGGTGTTTTTGAGGTACGGCCAGGCTGAGAGTCACTGCTTTAAGGAAGCAGCATGCCCTGTAACCCACCTGCAGCCCACCTTAAACCAGTTGGTCTTCTAGTCTAGGTATATATTCAACGGGCTCATCAAGGCAACAAGGAACAGACATATTAGGAAACGGCCTCAGTTAATGGTGATCTAATATGAGGCTCCCTAGAGAAGCAAGCAAAACGGGGAAGTTAAAACAGGAACCCCTACGAGTAGCTGGCCAGTTGGGCCTTTGAGAAAATTAAAACATACTGTACTTAGGCATATTAGTTCAAGTAGTTTGACTCAACTTCGATTCTAAAATCACCCACTGCGAAACAGCCATCCTGTGCTGTCAACCAATTCCACCTTCTACTGTTCTTGTTACCACTGGCTCATTAGGAGCCTCTTTATCTCCTCATGGTTTCTGCTTAACTAAGGGCTTTCACTGCCTCATGCCTTTTGCTGTCTTCCCATTTCTGTCTGTCTCTCTGTCTCAAACTCCCAAGAGGAAGAATCTCTGCTCAATATAGGCTGCTGGTTAGCCTATACATGCTTAGCTTGGGAGTCAGGCATAAGCAAGCCTAGTTCAAGCAGCTATAGCCAAAATGTGGAGTTGCATGCACCCAGCTCGGGGATACTGACAAAAGGAAATCCTATAAAGAAAGCTGTGGGCATGACGGGTTCTTGCAGGGAAGCCAATGTAACTAGCAGACACCTAACATGATCTGTCTGGTAAAAGTCATTTCCCTAAGCAGATTTCAAACTTCTGTATAGAGCCGGTTATACTTATTTCTCAATAAGGTTTAGTTTATGGGTCTCTGAGTGGAGGTAACTTAATTACCTAAGTAACTTAGTAATACACTTAGTTACCTAGGGAACTAACCAAGTGAATGAACAGGTGACGACTACTGATGCTTTCTTTTTTTTAATCTAGGTAACTGGAAAGTGAAAGAGGGGCTTGAGCATGTATCTGATCATTCAGATCTGCAATGAAAGCAAGATGAAAAACAGATACCCATAGACAATGCACAGTGCTGTCTTCAGAGACAAATTTCTCAGCACTAAACTGGAACCTTTTCTCTTTTTTTTTTTTTTTTTTTTTTTGAGACGGAGTTTCACTCTTGTTACCCAGGCTGGAGTGCAATGGTGTGATCTTGGCTCACCTCAACCTCCACCTCCTGGGTTCAGGCAATTCTCCTGCCTCAGCCTCCCGAGTAGCTGGGATTACAGGCACGTGCCACTGTGCCCAGCTAATTTTTGTATTTTTAGTAGAGACGGGGTTTCACCATGTTGACCAGGATGGTCTTGATCTTTTGACCTTGTGATCCACCTGCCTCAGCCTCCCAAAGTGCTGCGATTACAGGCTTGAACCACCGCGCCCGGCCCCTTTTCTTAAAAAAAGATTTCTCAAGAGCAGTATGCCCTCTTTAAGAGCAGCGGAGTGAAAAAAAAAAAAAAAAAACATTTTAAACCCCTTTCTGTAGACAGTCTGTACTGGCTTAAACTAGCTCTAAGCAGAGAAAACATTACAACATGTACCTTGCAGAGGGCCAGGAATACATGCAAAGTTGAGGTCTCTCTTTTGAAATATTTATATAAACTATCTCTAAATAATCTGTGACTCAAATATACAATCAGATTCTTATAATCAAAGCATTTGGCGTTATCACTACGCTACCCCTGACAATAACAGCTAAGACTTACCATGTGCCAGGCACTATTACAAAATATTTTATATCTAATATCCCACTTAATTTTCAAAACAAAGCTACAAAGTAGTTTGTTACTACACCCATTTTACAGATGGAGACAGTAAGGCACAGAGAAGTTAAATACCCAAGGTTAAATGTTAGCACATGCCATTTCCAAATTCAGACGTAGGCAGACTATCTACTCCCACAGAAAATGGGAGGTATAAAGTGTGAGGACACTGAGAAAAGAAGCCATTCCCGAATTGAAGGCTAAATACATCGCCACAAGCATCTCCCTCCAGAATATGGAAATGTCAAGCCCTACTCTGACGACCGAAGAGTTGCCTACTCCCAGAGAACACAGAGAAGAAGAACTGAGTACGAAGCCCTCCTGCATCTACAGTGTTGCGGACATCACCTGTTCAGTTCTGCGGACAACCTGCCTATGTCAGGTGTAAAGACAGATACCGCTTTCATTAAATCTCTGCAGCAAGAACACATAAATGGAAGAGTGCTTGAGAAACTCTAAGTGACAAGGTGCTAATAGCCTTTCCTTTGCTCCAGATGCTTTATTAACAAGCAAACCTGGACGGGAAAAACTGGACCAACTTTTTGCATCCAGGCCTTGTCAAGAAAGAGAAAAATACTGAACAGAGAAGTCCCAACATGTTCCCCAGAGAGATCACTTCAGAGAGAATAAAATGATAGAGGGTTAAGTGCTATTTAAACCCCAAAGTTTTTTTCTAGAGAGGCAAACTGTTGAAAAGAAAATCGCTCCCAGAACTTCACAGTTAATTCCCAAACAATGAATTTGGGGGAGATAAAATTCTGATAAGGAGCAGGACACCCAAGATACTTAAAGGGAAACATCTGTACACCCAAGCCAAATATTTAACTATGTCACTCTGTAGAGCCCAGTTTTGATTATCAACAGCACAAGCAGTGACTGTGATTCAGTGAACAAAGCTGTACAGAATGTTTCCCCAAACTGCAACATTTGTTCTGTCCCAAGGACGCTGGCAAAGAATACCAATTGGACCAAGAAATTTAAAAGAAAAGGATCTGAGGCCGGGCATGGTGGCCTGTGCCTGAAGTCTCAGCTATCAAGACGCTGAGACAGGAGGAATGTTTGAGTCCAGGAGCTGGAGACCAGCCTGAGCAACACAGCAAGAGGCCACTTTTTAAAATGCTTGAGAGAGGGAGAGAGAGACTGAGAGGGAGGGGCGGGGAAAGAGGGAGGGAGGGAGGGAGGGAGAGAGAGAGGGGGAGGGAGGGGGGGAGAGAGAGAGAGCGAGAGCGAGAGAGAGAGAGAGAGAGAGAGAGAGACAGAGAGAGAGAGAGAGAGAGAGAGAGAGAGACAGAGAGAAATTCTTATAAGAAAAGGAGCTGGAATATTCTTAAGTACCGAACTGAACTGTCCAAGACTTAGCAAAAAACAAAGCACAGCTGCTTCTCTTCAGATCATGCCTATGACAGATAAGATTTTTTTTTGGTTGCCAGTGACAGCTGATTTAGGACAGATGGACTCAGGAAACCAAAAAATGACCACTGATAACATCCACTGGCCTGGACTTCTCCCGGCCACACCTTAGCTGAGATTCTGCAAGTGCGTGTGGCTGTGCCCCATGAAGTAGGGGACTTCGGCATCCAAAAGCAGACAGATTGCCTTAAAAGAACCTGGCAAGGTTCTCAGTCACTTCCCCACATCTAGGTCTCTTGATTCTCTTTGTTCCACAGGGTAACTAAGGAAGTCCTCTGTGCTTGTTTTCTGAGACTGAAAATAAGGAGGTCTCTGGGGAATGTCATCCTAACTGTCAGTCTGGAAGAAAAGGCAGCCACAAGCAACATGGTACACAATGGTAACTTTGAAAGGATAGAGAAAGGCAGGCTGAACTCTAGGGGGCCTCAGCAAGGAGGACAGGGCTCCAAAAGGAGCTCCTCATGGCAGAAAAGAGACCACTGGTCCTCATCACCTGGGCACCCCTCTCCCTGGGCAGGGAGACAGTGAAAGGGTCAGGAAGTGGGGACAGTACATGAGAACGGGAAGGACTACTCTGAAGCTTCTAGTGGAGTGGGGAAGAACCATAAGACTTAAGAAATTGTTGTTAGCTATAAAGATGAAATTAACTGCCTTCAGAATTGTCTGGGAAGAAAAGCACTGTCTCCTTTCATTATGATACTAAATGATCTTCTAAGACATTGGACTAGTTCTACAAGCATATTAGCTTATGGTTGTTAACTACATTTCCTCTAATGAAAGTGCCATGCGCCTTGTCACTGGCCAATCTACTCAACTACCATTTATGAGAGCACTCAAAGACCCAAGGTAAGAAAGTCTCACGGCAAGGGCAAAGATCGAATCATATAATATAGGCTCACACCTACCTAAGGTTCAGCCAAGAAAAAGCCATAGCTGATTCTGCCAAGACAATGATACTTGGGAGCTGTGACTCTGAAACCAGAAATGAAGTCACAGGACCGTCTCATTCCAGCAAACATACCGTAGTTGAAGACAACAGGTCCACACAGGCAGATCTGAAAGAATACTAAATTGTGTGAAAAAGGTTTGCCTCAGGAGCTGGGGTCCAAGGAGCACTGATCTAAGAAATACAACGATGCAAGCAAAGAAAAAAAGCCATTCTGCCAAGTGGACTCTTGTTTAAGACAATGAAATTGACAAGGTGGAGGATTTATTCTCTATTTAGACTTCCTGAATAACAATCAGGTAAAAATATGCATCCTTCAAAATGCCTGTTAGGCAATGATGGCAATGATTCCACCTCCAGGATTTTATCCAAGAGAAATAAATATGAAGATATGGACATTTATAAGGCAAAATATTGGAAATAACCTAAATTATCTGACAATAAAAGACACGAATTAGATAAATTACAGTACTCTCCTACAGCGGGTAAATGAAGTACCACGCAGAAAACCAAGCTGATGTAAATTACTGTCACAGAAAGCTTCGACCCCAAAAATTAAATTTTAAAAGTATATCACAAAATATTCATGATTCCACTTTTAAATATATATATATATACACACACTTATATGTAAGTTAGCACAGGAAAATACTATTTTTTTCCAATGATTATATCTGAATTGATAGGATTAGGTAATGTTTGGTTTTTCTTTCCTATGTTTTATAACTGTTTTAGTAATATAAATTCAGAGATACTTCCAAAATTTAAAACAACAATCACAAAACTTTTTGCCGAAGCAATGTGTAGGTGGTATTCTTCACCAGGCAGTTTGCACCTAGATTGATGTTCCCCACCCTGCCTAGAGGAGCACAGAATCTGTGATGCTACAGGCTCCATACCCTCCTCAAAAGGCACAATCCATGGGAGCCCACTGAAGACTGAGAAAGTCTACTTAATTCAGTTCAAGGGTGTTTGCCTAGCATGTGTGATCCCTAAACACCTATAGCTGTTTAAAAGGTTGATAGACAAAGGAGGGGTGATTCCAAAGCAAGGTGATCAGAATAGTGGTAAGTCTGAAAACAACATCCTCCAAGGACTGAGCCCAGGAATTGAGCCTATTTAGCTGGAGGACTGTGAGACCAAAGGAAAGTATGATAAGCTTCTTCAAACACTTGAACTGCATTCATGGGTAGGAGGGAGAAAGATTGTTCTGTGACATTCCAGTAGACTATGCAAGAAGTGGAGAGTGAGAAGCAGATCCCAGGCCAAAAGAAGACAGGGCTTCCGGGGGCTCTTTTCTCGTCACTAGAAATAATGAAGTAAAAAGCAGATACCTAGCTGTCAGAGGTGCTATAGAAGAAACTTCTCCTAGGTTAAGACACATGGTTAAATGGCTACCAAGAGTCCTCTAGCCCCAAGATCCTCTAGACAGCAATCAATGAGGGCAAGGTCTGAATAAATTTCCCCAGAGTCAAGTCAATCGTCTACACCAGATCCTGTCTGATGGATACACCTAGTAATCCCAGTCAATGCCCAAAAATGCCTCCTGAGACCCCAGGGCCCAGGGATCAGCAGAAATAGACATGTTGCCTCTTTAGCAGGAACTAAGCACATTTGTCTCAAACCCTTGCCAAAGGCTGGAGAGGCTGTAAGTACAGCTCAGGGCCTATGTACATGCCTGCTTCCTACCTCTAAGAGGTAGGAAGATACGTCCTGTACATCTACACATATCTAAAGAAAACAAGACACTTGTTGGCCAAAGTTCATCAAGTGATAATGCTTTCAAAAAAATAAAGGAAAACCTCGGGTTGGGCAGAGGGGCTCAGGCCTGTAATTCCAGCACTTTGGGAGGCCAAGGCAGGTGGATGACTTGAGCTCAGGAGTTCAAGACCCACCTGAGCAACATGGCGAAACCCCATCTCTACAAAAACAAATACAAAAATTAGCCAGCATGGTGGCCCGTGCCTGTAGTCCTAGCTACGTGGGAGGCTGAGGTGGGAGGCTACTATGAGCTGAGCCTGGGTGGCAGAGGTTGCAATGAGCTGAGATCATGCCACTGCATACCAGCTTGGGTGACAAAGTAAGGCCCTGTCGAAGGGGAAGGGGAAGGGGAAGGGAAAAGAGAAAGGAAAGGAAAGGAAAAGAAAAACCAGCTCACATATGTAATCCCACTCTGGGAGGCTAAGGTGGAAGGACTGCTTGAGCCCAGTGAGACCAGCCTGGGCAACAAAGTAAGATCCATCTCTACAAAAAAAAGTTAGGCATGGTGGCATATGCCTGTAGCCCAGCTCCTGAGAGGCTGACACAGGAGGATCTCTTCAGCCCACAGTATTGATGCTGCAGTGAGCTGTGTTTGAACCACTGCACTCCAGCTTTTGGATGACAGACAGGAGGGAGGGAGGGAGGGAAGGGCAAAGGGAGGGAGGGAGGGAGGCCTTCTCCTAAGAAGCAAGATGAGGAAAAGAACCCAGTGAATGAAAGTCTTTTACCCACTGCTACGGCCACATACACACACACTCACACACACACACACACACACACACACGCACGCGGGCGCTCTCTCTCTCTCTCTCTCTCTCTCTATCCAAGCATCCTTCTTTCCCCTCTTTGCCCCTCTTTCCTCAAAGAGCAGAGAAAAGTGGTCTATTGAGAGAGAAAAATAAATAAAACACAGTAATGTAAAGATTTAGACAATAATATACCCCATATACACCAATCCAAAATCTAATATTCTATTTTTTTAAAAAAGGATTTTAGAAAGCAGAGGGGATAAGAAAGGGAACAAAAATCTTTTAACCTTCAGATTTTAGCTGCATTTTTAATCTCTTTTAACACTAGATATTAACAGTGTTTCTAATTAAATGAAACCTAAAGTTGTTACAGTTACCTTTTACTAAGGTCTTTATTTTCTCTGTAACTACTTTATAACTATGAAAAACAAGAGTTCTCCCTATTCATTCCATATTTTTAGTAGGTTTCCTGGCTCTTTAATGTCCACAATGTCCCTTTCATGCTACTCTCCTACTCTCCCTCCTCCCTTACCTTCCTCCCCTCTCCAGGGTGTACCTAACTGCCTTGGCCCAAGGGTGGCTAAATCCCAGAGACTGGACAAACAGTATCTTTTTTTTTTTTTTTTAGACGGAGTTTCGCTCCTTACCCAGGCTGGAGTGCAATGGCGCGATCTCGGCTCACCGCAACCTCCGCCTCCTGGGTTCAGGCAATTCTCCTGCCTCAGCCTCCTGAGCAGCTGGGATTACAGGCACGCACCACCATGCCCAGCTAATTTTTTGTATTTTTAGTAGAGACGGGGTTTCACCATGTTGACCAGGATGAAGAGTATCCTTTTAGAACAACGAAAAGTTACACCAAGCCTGGTATATGCTCAACAGCATCCTCGCCCAAGGTCATCTGACTCGCCTATCCTAACTACAGAAGAAACTGGGGCAGCTGCAGAGAAGGAGAGAGGAGAATGCAAATGCAGCTCAGGTAACAGGCACAAGTCGGCCAGAACTGCCAGAACTGCCTCCTGCAAATGCATGCCCGGGGCCAGAGCCTGCCCCCAGCCCCTGCGCAGAGATGAGTGGGGACAGGTGGGAACTGACTCCAGTGTTCAGTTCAGGTAAATTGTAAAGTGCTCAAATATGGCTTCTTTTAATTTGCAGTTCCCAGAATTTTTGCCAGGATCCTTGGCAACAATGCACGTTCTCTGATAACTCATTCCCAAAGATCGTTTCAATGCTGCCGCTATTTTCTAAGGCTCAATTTTCTGGAGCCATGTAACTTCACCCAGGTGCCTTGAAAATCACCTGTGCACAGAATTGTAAGTGATCCTTAAAAGTTGAGACTCCTAATGGTACCACAAAGGGGGCTGTTCAAATTACCCAACGACTGGTACAAGAGCCTCTCACCGAGGGATGTAAAGCTGGGGCCTAGAATAATCACTTTCTGACAGCATTCCTCGGAAGACACTGCAGTCTGCAGACATTTTATATGCATTTGTCTTATGACTATTTTAACTACTGTAATAAAACACCAACACACACACACACTCGGATGTGTTACTCCGAATTTTACATATCAGAGAACAGCTACGAGGTACACTGTGCTGCCAGGATAACCCACTTTTGCACAGATCTCAGAATAAAGCTTCTTCTGCCATCTCTATTTGCTTGGAAAGCACCCTGAGATTGCAAGACTAGCTGTTTTAAACTGTGATATTCGTCCTGCTTAACTGGTGAACAGGGAGTCTCTCCATTTCATGCAACCAGGACAAAAATCAAATCTCCCCTTCTATTTCTAATTTGTGTTCGTCAAAACTGCCACATTGAAATCAGTGATTAAGTTTACACTTTTTTTTTTTTTGAGACGGAATTTCGCTCTTGTTACCCAGACTGGAGTGCAATGGCGCGATCTCGGCTCACTGCAACCTCCGCCTCCTGGGTTCAGGCCATTCCCCTGCCTCAGCCTCCTGAGTAGCTGGGATTACAGGCACGCACCACCACGCCCAGCTAATATTTTTTGTATTTTTAGTAGAGACGGGGTTTCACCATGTTGACCAGGATAGTCTCGATCTCTTGACCTTGTGATCCATCCGCCTGGGCCTCCCAAAGTGCCGGGATTACAGGCTTGAGCCACCGTGCCTGGCCAGGTTTACACTATTACAGGTTTAACAATGAACTCCCAAAATACAATCCCAAAACATCACTACATTATGGGTTCCATGAAAAAGAAAAACTGTTTTAAACGGGCACTACCAAATGTTTAAGTCTGAAAACCACTGGCCAGGGCTCATGTTCCCTTACAAAAGCTGCACAACACAAATTCCAGCATGAATACTGTCTGAAAAATGACTATGGCACAGGCCATGCTGCTGAATTCAGTTAGGTACTAGAGACTGGGGAACTAGAAAAGCCTAGTTCCTCCTTTGCACTAGCCATGCAAAATGAGCGTGGCCTGCTGTAAAAGAGCCGCAGTTTCCATATTGCAGAATATCTGAGATTGAAGATAATTTGTGACTGATTAAGTAGGTCAAACACTTCTAAGACTCTGTATGAGAGATATTTCTTTTTTCATGTCCTCTTAAAAAACAAGCAGGTGAAATAGAGTTTACAGTTTATTAATGAAAGACAGCACTACCACCAAAATATTTAGGGATATATGTCACCCAAAATAATACCACTATGCCTTTCAATATTTTTTTTTTTTTTTTGAGACATAGTTTCGCTCTTGTTACCCAGGCTGGAGTGCAATGGCGCGATCTCGGCTCACCGCAACCTCCGCCTCCTGGGTTCAAGCAATTCTCCTGCCTCAGCCTCCTAAGTAGCTGGGATTACAGGCACGCGCCACCATGCCCAGCTAATTTTTTGTATTTTTAGTAGAGATGGGGTTTCACCATGTTGACCAGGATGGTCTCGATCTCTTGACCTCGTGATCCACCTGCCTCAGCCTCCCAAAATGCTGGGATTACAGGCGTGAGCCACCGCGCCCGGCCTCAACATATTTTAAGTTAACTTACAGTTATTCCAATCAAGCCTAATTAAGATGTTCAAAAGCCATAAATAAATAGCTCAGAAAAAAAGATGTTAAAGGGATTTCAGTCCTGGCGCATTGGCTCACACCTCTAATCCCAGCACTTTAGGAGGCCAAGGTGGGAGAATCGCTTGAGTCTAAGTTCAAGACCAGCCTGGGCAACATAGTGAGACTGTCTCTATAAAAATAATAATGAATGAGGCAGGCGTGGTGGCATGTGCCTGTAGTGCCAGCTACTCGAGAGGCTGAACTGGGAGGATCACCTGAGCAAGGCTTGTGATTGTGATTGCGCCACTGCCTTCCAGCTTGTGCAACTCAGTGAGACCCTGTCTCAAAAAAAGGTGTGCGTGGGGGATGGATTTCAGACTAACTTTTCAAAGAAAACAAATGGACAACAAATGGGTCGTTTTAAAGAGAACAGCAAATAAAACAGAATGATTCCATTTATGTGCCACTTCCCTTCCCTGCTCAGTTTAATAAGAAAGGAAGTCCTGCTTCTGGCCCATTTTATGAAGGGTGTGGAAGAACAAGGGGTTGGCAAAGATGATGTGACCCAATTCCAAATCAAACAGAAAAAAGCAAAGCGGAGACTAGGAATGACCTTCCACGTGCTTTAGGACCACCATCGCGGAGAGCGAGGGGACTGCCACACTCCTCTCCCGCAAACAAGCAACAGCAGAAGTGTGAGTGACAAGAGGTCATCAGGGCTCTTGCTCCCTCTGGACATTGTTTTTCCTTCACTATAGTTCTCCAAAAAAAAAAAAAAAAAAATTCCCAGCACTTTGGGAGGCCAAGGCAGAAGGCTGGCTTGAACCCAGGAGTTCAAAAGCAGCCTGGGCAACATGACGAAACACCATTTCTACAAAAAATACAAAAATTAGCCGGGTGTGGTGGCACATGCCTGCAGTCCCAGCTACTTGGGAGGCTGAGGTGGGAGGATTACTTAAGCCCGGGAGGTGGAAGCTACAGTGAGCTGTGTTCATGCCACTGTATTCCAGCTTGGGTGATAAAGTGAGACACAGTCTCAAGGGAAAAAAAAAAAAAAAAAGTCCAGATAATGCCAAATGCTGCCAAGGATTTAGAGAAACTAGACCACTCATACATTGCTGTTAGAACCATATAACAGTACAGCCACTCTGGGAAACAGTTTGCCAGTGTCTTATAAAAGTAAACAAGCAATTCCCATACAAAGCAGCAACAGCACTCCTTGGCATTTATCACAGAGAAATGAAGAAGTATGTTCCCTCAACAATCTGTACACAAGTGTTTATATCCGTTTTATTCCCAATAGGCAAAAACTAGAAACAACTGAGCTGTCCATCAACTAGCCAATGGGTAAACCAAACATGGTACATCCATATCATGAAGCACTCCTCGGCTAAGAAGGAAACAACTCATACAACTTGGATGAAGATCTGGGGAATTGTGCTGAGCAAGAACAGCCTATCCCAAAAAGACATACACTATATGAGTAAATTTACATAAGGTTCTTAAAATGACAAAATTATAGAAATGGGGAACAGATGAGTGGCTTCCAGGGGTCAAAGAAGTGGGGAGTGCTAGGTAGAGCTATAGGAAGGAATGTTAGGAGTCCTTATGGGGAAGCAAATCTGCATTTTGCGGCGTCAATGTCATTATCCTGGTTATGACATTATACTACAATTTTGCAAAATGGAAAAAGTAAAGGTATAAGAGATCCTCTCTGTATTACCTGATATAACTGCACACAAATCTACAATTATCTAAAAATGAAAAGTTTTAATTTTTAAAAACTACATAAGTTAACATACATTTTTTACACTCCAAGTACTATAAAAATTGGGTGAAGATTCATTTAGCAAATGGGAGAAGGGAGTAAGAGTCTAAGAAACACAGAATCACTTTCTAATGACATACCCTAAAGACAACAGAGAACGGTATTAAAACAACATATGCTACATCAAGCCAGTGTGGTCCAGACTGGAACTACTCACAACTTGGATTTTTTTTTTTTTTTTTTCTTTTTTTTTGAGACGGAGTTTCGCTCTTGTTACTCAGACTGGAGTGCAATGGCGCGATCTCGGCTCACCGCAACCTCCGCCTCCTGGGCTCAGGCAATTCTCCTGCCTCAGCCTACTGAGTAGCTGGGATTACAGGCCCGCACCACCATGCCCAGCTAATTTTTTGTATTTTTAGTAGAGACGGGGTTTCACCATGTTGACCAGGATGGTCTCTATCTCTTGACCTCATGATCCACCCGCCTCGGCCTCCCAAAGTGCTGGGATTACAGGCGTGAGCCACTGCGCCCGGCTTCCCAACTTGGATTTTAAAGAACACAGGCTAGGCCGCTCCCTTGTGGGGGCTGTTCATGGCGGTTCCCGGGTCTCCAACATCTTCCCAGCTTTTGCTCAGATTTTGGTCCTAAATCTGTCCAAAGCAAAGGCAGTGGAGCTTGAGGTTCCTAGAGGAGTGAAATGACTGAGTACAAACTGGTGGTACTTGGAGCAACTGGTGTTGGGAAAAGTGCACTGACAATCCAGCTAATCCAGAACCACTTTTTGCAGATGAATATGATCCCACCATAGAGGATTCTTAGAGAAAACAGGTGGTTTCAGATGGTGAAACCCGTCTGCTGAACACTCTCCATACAGCTAGACAAGAAGAGTCCAGTGCCGTGAGAGACCAATACATGGGGACAGGCGAAGGCTTCCTCTGCGCCCTTACCAACAATAACAGCAAGTCATTTGTGGATATTAATCTCTACAGGGAGCAGATTAAGCAAGTGAAGGGCTCAGATTATGTACCTCTGGTGCTAGCGGGAAGCAAGTGTGATATGCCAACAAGTACAGTTGATACAAAACAAGGCCACAAACTGGCCAAGAGTTACAGTATTCCACTGACTAAAACCTCAGCCAAGATCAGACAGGCTGTTGAAGATGCTCTTTACACACTGCTAAGGGAAGTACACCAGTACCAAATGAAAAACCTCAACAGGCCAGGCGCGGTGGCTCATGCCTACAATCCCAGCACTTTGGGAGGCCGAGGTGGGTAGATCACGAAGTCAAGAGATCGAGACCATCCTGGTCAACAAGGTGAAACCCCTGTCTCTACTAAAAATACAAAAATTAGCTGGCCATGGTGGCATGTGCCTGTAATCCCAGCTACTCGGGAGGCTGAGGCAGGAGAATTGCCTGAACCCAGGAGGCGGAGGTTGCGGTGAGCCGAGATCGCGCCATTGCACTCCAGCCTGGGTAACAAGAGCGAAACTCCGTCTCAAAAAAAAAAAAAAAAGGAAAACCTCAACAGCACTGATGATGGGACTCAGGGTTGTATGGGATTGCATGCGTGATGATGTAACAAGACACTTTTAAAGTTCTATCAGAAAAGAGCCACTTTCAAGCTGCACCAACACTCTGGTCCTGCCTTCCCAGGAGAAGCATTCCCGCTGCTATCCCCAGTCTCACAGAGAAGCTTCTGCTACTTCCCCAACTCTCAGTATTTTACTGCAATCTTCTCTATTTGATAAGTTCTCAGAATAACTGCCTCCTCGCTTGGCTGTCTGACCAGAGAACTGCACCTTTCGTTACTCTGTGATTTTTCTGCCCTGGGTTCTTCCACCACATAAACATGCCTCTGCCACCACAGGCTTTTCATCTGAAAAGCAGTTCCTGTCTGAAACAGAACCAAACGGCAAACGTGAAACTCTACTGAAAACAGTGTCTTGAGCTCTAAAGTAGCAACGACCAGTGATTTTTTTTTCTTTTACTGTTGAACTTAGAACTATGCTAATTTTTGGAGAAATGTCATAAATTGCTGTTTTGCCAGGAAGAGAGTTATTACTGCTGTTTGGTTTGTCTGTAATGTTATTGGCTGCATTCTCTAAACTGGCATCTGCTCGAGATTCATAAACACAAAAAGGAATACAGAATTTTGAATCTAACCTAATCTTCTCAACTTTCATGTAATTGAATCCAACTTTCACGTGAAACGCCTTTTTCCTAGAAGTGGTTTGTAGACTTCCTTTACAATATTTCAGTGGAGTAGATGTCTCAGACTTCCTTATGCATGGAAATGAATGTCTGGGAAACGTCTGTGACTTATCTCCACTGAGAGAAAGCTGTATCTACATGAGAGCAGATGTCATTTGGTACCTGTATGAAGTTGGTTTTCCAAAGGCCTGTTTTGGGGGATTTACCAGGAAAAGATGAAACTGAAAGCATCTGAATAATTTCACTTAATTTTTACTAATCTCCACTTTTTTCCTAGGTTATTACCCATAATTTGAAGTATTTTTCAGTGGAGGCATCCTCAGTCTCTCTCTTCAGTACTTTTTTCCTAGGTTATTACCCATAATCCAAACTCCAGCTGGTAATTTCTTTCCTCTAGCTTACTGATAAACCTAATATTCAATGAACTTCCCATTTGTATTTAAATCTGGGTCATGCCAGAAAGCTCTACATTCGCAGATGTTCAAATATTGTAAAACTTTGGTGCACTGTTACTTAGGAGCTGTGATCAGTGATTTTCAAACCTCAAATACAGTATATTAACAAATTACAGTTTCACTGTATATCACGGTATCCTAACTCTAACCCTTCTCACCCCACCCTCTACACCTCCCCCAACAGCAATAGGGGCTTGATTATTTCAGTTAAGTAAAGCATGACCCACCCTCTATGGTGGGATGACATGAGAAAGAAATTCTTCCACATTTGCTCATTGCACAGTAACTCCAGCTGGTAATTTTGCTGGGTGCCTGCAGTTAACCCCACAAAGGAAGAAGAGGTAAGTTAGCACAAGTCCTTTATCATGGCTGGAAAACTCGGTATCACGTATTTAAATCTTTTTTTTCCTTTTCCTTTTCCTTTTAAGCCATGTTTTTCCTTAACTCTAAATTAAGCCAATATTCTCATTTGAGAATGAGGATGCCTCCACTGAAAAATACTTCAAATTTTCTTTACTCATAATGTTCTCTGAAGGGTTTAAAGCAGGATATTGATAAATCTGTCTACGCTGCTAAGTTTGCTCAAAACAAGAAGTTGGAATTGTTGAGACAGAAATGGAAAATATAATTAATTGCTAGTTAGAGGATCTGAAGGCTTGGCATTTTCATTTGCAGATAATACGCTGGTAATTCTCATAAAAAAATAAACCTGGATAACTTTCGGTAAAAAAAACTAATTCCAAAATGGCCACTTTGTTCCTGTCTTCCAATATTTAAATACTTACTGAGGTCACAGTGTCGCTCTGTTGCCAGGCTGTTGGCAACAGAGTTGGCAACTCTGCTCACTGCCAACTCCACCTCCTGGATTCAAGCGATTCTTCTGCCTCAGCCTCCCAAGTAGTTGGGACTACAGGGGTGCGCCCCCACACCCAGCTAATTTTCATATTTTTAGAGACGGGGTTTCACTATGTTGGCCAGGATGCTCTTGATCTCCTGACCTTGTATACGGCTCGCCTCGGCCTCCCAAAGTGCTGGGATTACAGGTGTAAGCCAACTGCGCCCAGCCCTCCATCTTCTATGTTACTAATTTTCATTTATTACACAAATGTCATATTACCTTGAAATTAAGAAGAAACATATACTGTGCCCAGAATATAATGAACCTGGAAAGTTGTGTTCCTTACTGCTAATTCTGAAAGTTTTCACAGTACTGTCATCATTTGTAAATAGAAATTCTGCTTCCCTATTTGTGCCCCTCCTGGAGCAGTGTTACTCTGTAATTTTCCTGAGGCTTATCACCTCAGTTATTTTTTTTTTTAACTTCTGTAACTTGACTTTTTTTTTTTAATGTCTGTGACTGGCAGTGTGATTCTTTTTCTTAAAAATCTATTAAATTTGATTTCAAATTAGGAAGAAAAATAGTTACTCATCTTGGGCTCTTGTACCAACAGCCCTTGTATGTACGTACTTAAAGTTTTTTAAGCATGTTCTAAGTACAGAAGTTTCTAAATGGGGCCAAAATTCAGACTTGAGTATGTCTTTGAATAGCTTCTTAAGAAGTTACAATTAGCCAGGCATGATGGCCCGCACCTGTAATCCCAGCTACTTGAGAGACTGAGGCAGAAGGATGGCTTGAACCCAGCAGGTGGAGGTTGCAGTGAGAAGAGATCCCACCACTACACTCCAGCCTGAGTGACAAAGTGAGACTCAATCTCAAAAAAAAAAAATAGTTACACATAGGTGTGAATTTTGGCAAATGGAGTGTCAAACTTATAGTTAAAAGCTGAATAACTTCAGTGGGGCATAACATGTGGTTTTTAGGCTATGTTTGTGATTGCTGAAAATAATTCCAGTTTACCTGAAAATCCTCTTTCCCCAAATTAAGTGCCTGGCCAGCTGTCATAAACTACATATTCCTTTTAGTTTTTTTTTTTTTTTTTTTTTTAAAGGTTATATGTTCAAGACTGTGAAAATAAGATGTTCTGTCTAAAGGCTACTATGCCTGGTACATAAATGAACCTATTAAATGCTGTATTTGCTGCAACAGCTTACTATAGAATGTTACTTACATACAATACCATACTTATTACCATGTTTACCATCGGAGTGTAATATAGGTAAAATTAACCTCGATTTTACTGGGTCCCCTGTTTAGTCTTCCCCATCCTTTAAACTGCTGTGAATTTTTTGTCATGACTTGAAAGCAAGCATAGAGAAACACTTTAAAGGCACCTGGGTTTTTTCCCATTCCAGAACTTGTGAGCAGTCATATTCGCTTTATATTCAGTCATGAACTCCTAAGCTGGCAGCTACAACCAAGAACCAAAAACCAGTGCATTCTGCTTCTTGTAAATGATCTCTGCTGATTAATTATAAGAAGCAAGGAAAACTAGAAAAAATCTTGTATTTGGATGGTTTCTATAAAGAAAGGACTATATTCTTGTACATGATTTTTCACCTTTGCTGTTTCTTTGAGCTGTCTAATGTGCCACACCATTATCTAAGGTATTTGTTTTCTGTAAGAATCATTTGAAAAGTATTCTTGTTACCAGAGTAGTTGTATTGTATTTCAAAATGAAAGATGATTTTTAAAAACCTGAGTGCTGACCTAAGATCCAGCTGTATGAACTCTACTCTGGAGGGAGGGGAGGGCGTCAGTGGAAGTTCTAAGACTTTCATTTTTTTGTGCCATGTAACATACATAAAAATAATTGTGCAATTCTGCTGTTTAAACAGGAACTATTGACTTCCTTGGCCCTAAATAAGAGCAGATATTTTAAGTTGATTACTTGATTGTAAATTAATCCAATCTTATTCTTTTTAATTTGGTTGAATGTTTTTCTTGTTAAATGATGTTTAAAAAATAAAAACTAGCACTTTGGGAGGCCGAGGGGGTGGATCACGAAGTCAAAAGATCAAGACCACCCTGGTCAACATGGTGAAACCCCACCTCTACTAAAAATACAAAAAATTAGCTGGCCACGGTGGTGGGCGCCTGTAGTCCCAGCTACTCAGGAGGCTGAGGCAGGAGAATTGCCTGAACCCAGGAGGCGGAGGTTGCAGTGAGCCGAGATCGCGCCATTGCACTCCAGCGTGGGTAACAAGAGTGAAACTCCGTCTCAAAAAAATAATAATAATAAAAATAAAAACTAGAAGTTATTGGCTTTAAAAATTAAAAATTAAAAAAAATGACTGGGCACGGTGGCTCACGCCTATAATCCCAGCACTTTGGGAGGCCAAGGTGGGTGGATCACAAGGTCAAGAGATTGAGACCATCCTGGTCAACAAGATAAAACCCCGTCTCTATTAAAAATACAAAAAAAAATTAGCTGGGCATGGTGGTATGCGCCTGTAGTCCCAGCTACTTGGGAGGCTGAGGCAGGAGAATTGCTTGAACCCAGAAGGCATAGGTTGCAGTGAGCTGAGATCACGCCATTGCACTCCAGCCTGAGTAACAGCAAAACTCTGTCTCAAAAAAAAAAAAATTTTTTTTTTAATTAAAAACATGGTCTAAAGGACCATTCCTCAGGAGAACACTCCTAACGATGATAACCTATTCAAGCCTGTTCTATCTTTTCTTAACTGTCCCAGGAGGCATCATCTCTGGCTTGTTCCTTCTTAGCCGATGGTCATTAGGGTCTCTGGCCAAGTAAGTTTGGAAAAGACTGAATACTTTATCCAATTCTTAGCAATTGCCAAATGCACAGGGATGTATTATGGCTCTGAAGAGTCATGCAGTAAAGAAGCTCATTTATCTTTAACACTCTGACTGCCAAATTTATTTGCTCCAGAACATCCAGCATTTCTCATTTCATTTCAGCAGAGCATACTTTAGGGATCTTGGATCCAGGCTATTGCCCACTAGTCTGCAAATTAGGTGTCACAAACTATGAATAAAGCTTCTTGGCCCGATGGTGAACTGACCTCAACTTGTCAGTGGAGGCAGTGGATAGCTGGGTTTCAGAAGCACTGGCATTTTCTGTACCATGGGGAAACAGAATGTTCCTCTTGCCTTGTCATTTGTTAGGTGTGCGCCTCATGCAGCCACTGTGCTATGCAGTATTTAAATAAATTTCACTTAATATGCAAAGCAACCATATACCAATAGATACTGTTACAGCATAGGTTTCATTAGAGAAAAAAACTGATTCTTAACATTGTCACAAAGTTGCTGAGCAGCAGTGTGAACCCAAAACCTGAGCCCTTAACCATTGAGCCCTAATATTTCATTATATGCAGGTGGCAAGAAGAGACCTGTTTGACCAGTTCCGTCTCTAGCACTTGGCTAGTTTCATAGATATTAGCTATTATGATCATGGCCAGTCTGAGTGTAGGGGTGTCTAGAACTAATGGAGCACAACTCACTATAGGTTTCTTTGCTCTTCCTCCACTCCCACTGCTTCACTCGACTAGCCTTCAAAAACAGTATTTAAAAAATATGAGCTATTATGATGATAGGAAGGAAGATGAAGATAAACCCTCTACAAAAGATAAGCTAAAAATAGTATAAAGCCTCAGAGTGTAAGAAGAAAGAAGCAAGTAACATACAGCACGCTCCCACTTTTATAAGAAGAAAAGGAGTGAACAGTGGACAATGGGGGTAGAAGAACAAAAGCACGACTGGAAAGAGTGTACTGTAGATATTCAGCTGATTCACTGTTAACCCATTTTAGGAGGCTGACCGTGAATTAAGTAATTAAATTTTTCTAAACGCAGAAACACAAAAATCCACAACTTCAAAGTTACTTCCTACATCTTCTTGCTCTAATTTGAAGCCTGTCAGAAAAAACCAGACCTTGAGTATTTCTATTAATAATTCCTGCCCACGCCAGTAAGTAACAGCCACAACGAGTTCCGGCCATGCTCCTAAAAACTGCTTAGGTTCCATATTTGCAGAGATAAATGCTTAAATTCAAATACATTTTTAATTCAGTTACAACTTTAATCAATTCCAGCTGTTAGATGAGCCTCAGAAAAACTTACAGTTAAGTACCAATCATAACTATTTTTAAATAGTGTTTATTTCATATTGGACATTTAAATTTGTCTTTGAAATTTTAACATGATAAATTGTACTCACAACAAGCGTTTGCTCTTAGTATCATAATAATTTCCATATCAAACAATACCAAGCCCCATTTTTTATTGTCATAGCAACCACTACTTGATATTTAAAATGTAGACAAGTTGATTCATCTTATAAAGTTACTACAACATTAAAAACTTACTTTCAATTTATAAAAAAGCAAATGAAAGAAACAGTATTTCTTCTCCACACTACCACTTGCAGAAAAATAACACCATCATGGTTGAACAACATCCCGCAAAATGTCAGGAAATTTCATCTTTACTGAAGCTACATAAAACAGAACAATGGCACCAAGCCCTTCTTCTATTGATAGCTTAATCATGTCGTTTACATAAGCACATTTTGTTGCAGGGCAAAGGCCACTCAAGCTTTCCCACCTCGGTGCCTTTACCATCTCAGACTTGTGCACACAGACAACACAGAAATAGAAGTCATCCATCACAAGCATAACCCTTACCAACAAGAGAAGACAGTCAAATACCCCGGGGTTAGATATCCATCACAAGTATAACCCTTACCAACAAGAGAAGACAGTCAAATACCCCAGGGTTAGATATCCATCACAAGCATAACCCTTACCAACAAGAGAAGACAGTCAAATACCCCGGGGTTAGATATCCATCACAAGCATAACCCTTACCAACAAGAGAAGACACTCAAATACCCCGGGGTTAGATATCCATCACAAGCATAACCCTTACCAACAAGAGAAGACAGTCAAATACCCCGGGGTTAGATATCCATCACAAGCATAACCCTTACCAACAAGAGAAGACAGTCAAATACCCCGGGGTTAGATATCCATCACAAGCATAACCCTTACCAACAAGAGAAGACACTCAAATACCCCGGGGTTAGATATCCATCACAAGCATAACCCTTACCAACAAGAGAAGACAGTCAAATACCCCGGGGTTAGATATCCATCACAAGCATAACCCTTACCAACAAGAGAAGACACTCAAATACCCCGGGGTTAGATATCCATCACAAGCATAACCCTTACCAACAAGAGAAGACAGTCAAATACCCCGGGGTTAGATATCCATCACAAGCATAACCCTTACCAACAAGAGAAGACAGTCAAATATCCCGGGGTTAGATATTTTAGAAGATTCTCAAGACAGATGTTATCAGAAAGACACTTCAAATTCTGTGGCAACATTAACTGAAGAAATGGAGCATTTAAAATATTTTTTTTCAGGCCAGACACGGTGGCTCACGCCTATAATCCCAGCATTTTGGGAGGCCGAGGCAGGCAGATCGCTTGAGTCCAGGAGTTTGAGACCAGCCTTGGCAATACAGAGAGACCCTGCCTCTACAAAAAATAAACAACTAGCTGGGCATGGTGGCTCACAGCCGCAGTCCCAACTACTCAGTAGGCTGAGGTGGGAGGATTGCTTGGGCCCAGGAGGTTGAGGCTGCAGTAAGCTGAGATTACAACACTGCACTCCAACCTGAGCAACAGACTGAGATCCTAACTCAAGAAAACTTTAAAAAATTAAAAAAGGATTCTCTTGGCCAGGCGTGGTGGCTCACACCTGTAATCCCAGCACTTTGGGAGACCAAGGTGGGCGGATCACTTGATGTCAGGAGTTTGAGACCAACCTGACCAAGATGGTGTAACTAAAAATGGTCTCTACTAAAAATACAAAAATGTAGCCGGGTGTGGTGGCAGGCACCTCTAATCCCAGCTACTTAGGAGACTGATGCCAAAGAATTTTTTGAACCCAGACAGCAGAGGATGCAGTGACACCACTGCACTCCAGCCTGGGAGAGTGAGACTCCATCTCAAAAAAAAAGAAAAGAACGATGGTAAAAAGTTAAACAGAATATTCTCTCCATCAAAATATTCTTTCCACCTAAGCTTAGATTTACATTTGCCACAATCTCTGCCTAGAAACCATTAAATACCACAAAACGTTTTTCACCTCTCTAAAGATCTGACTCCATCACCGACACCTCTCTAAGAGGTTTGTGCAGCGGGGCCCAATCCCTCAGCCCTCCAGCATCTCCTCTCAAAAACCGGAGGGAACCCCAAGTCCAATCACAACACTAGCAGATACTGCCTTCAGCAAGAGTTTCCCGCCAAAGCACCAACACCCTACATAAAATTACAATGTTTTGTTAGCTCATCACCCCTTAGATGGACTCACATGTAACAGCTGAGAAAATCTAAATAAATCATTAAACCAACCTGAGACGAACCTTTAACCTCCTTCAGAAGACTTAATGAATAAAGTCATAGGATCAGCCACCACTTGTTAACAATTTCCAGTTTACATCAAGCTTCCAAGATTGTGAAAACAGGCTCTAGGAGATTATCTAAATATAGGCGACAATTACAACTTTGAGAAATACAATCTAAAAGCCTTTGATCTTTAAAATTTAAATTACCTTATTTTTAACTTTTGACAAAGAAATATCCCAATTAGGCCGGGCACGGTGGCTCACGCCTGTAATCCCAGCACTTTGGGAGGCCGAGGCGGGTGGATCACGAGGGCAAGATATCGAGGTCATCCTGGTCAACATGGTGAAACCCCGTCTCTACTAAAAATACAAAAAATTAGCTGGGCATGGTGGCACGTGCCTGTAATCCCAGCTACTCAGGAGGCTGAGGCAGGAGAATTGCCTGAACCCAGGAGGCGGAGGTTGCGGTGAGCCGAGATCGCGCCATTGCACTCCAGCCTGGGTAACAAGAGCGAAACTCCGTCTCAAAAAAAAAAAGAAAGAAAGAAAGAAAGGAAAGAAAGGAAAGAAAGAAAGAGAGAGAGAGAGGGAGAGAGAAAGAAAGAAAGAAAGAAAGAAAGAAAGAAAGAAAGAAAGAAAGAAAGAAAGAAAGAAATCCCAATTAACCTAAGACAAAATGGTCATCAGAACGTTGGAACAACATATAAAACACAGAACTAATGCTGCATGAAAATGAAGTAATTTAAACAATGAACAGAAAAGATGCCTTCATTTCCAAACATTTTAATAGAAATAAAAGTAAGACATACCAGCACTCTGTTTTCAACTTTGTCTCCCTTAACTTCCAACTTTACTTTCTTCTTCACTGAAATTTTTATCCTTCTGCCAATAACATCCTTTATGCTTTCTGGAAAAAAAGAAATAGTTTCATTATACTATTAGAAAAAAAAGCATTGGGGAGGAGTAATCAATTGATATGGAAGAGTATATTTGGTTGCTGTTACTGTTTTTTTCTTTATGAAACAGAGTCTCACGCTGTCACCCAGGCTGGAGTGCAGTGGTGAGATCTCAGCTCAGTGCAACCTCCTCGTCCCGGGTTCAAGTGATTCTTCTGCCTCAGCTTTCCTAACAGCTGGGACTACAGGGAAGTACCACTGTGCCTAACCAATTTTTTGCATTTATTAGAAACGGGGTTTCACCATGTTGGTCAGGCAGGTCTTGAACTCCTAACCTCAAGTGATCCACCTGCCAGAGCCTCAAGATTACAAGCATGAGTCACTGTGCCCAGGCGTTTGTCTTTTTTCACGTGCTTTAACTTCTGATGGTAATCAGCCATTAAGTATTTAATGGACACCTCCTTTGTACCCTTGTACCTTGTACTGTGCGGTGAGGTGCTGAGGCATACGTAAAAGCCTGACATAACACCAGCCCACTGAAGGCATAACATAACCTTGTTTGGAAAATAAGATACATATACAAGAAAACACAAAAAAACAGCAAGCAGCGAAGCTGGGCAGTATGATGAAGCACTACACTGAAGGCAGAGCACAACAGGAATTCACAAACTCCCTCTGCCCTTGGCTGGTTACCTCTGGTGCCCAGCAGCCTCTGGGTTCACCACAGTGCCATACAAACATTAGCATTCTCTTTGAGTAAGTCTTGACATGATGGTTGGGGAATATGGCAAAACAAAACACAACAGAACTGGGCCAGGCATGCTGGCTCACGTCTATAATCCCGGCAGTTTGGGAGGCTGAGGCAGGTGGATCACTTGAGGCTAGGAGTTCGAGACTAGCCTGGCCAACATGGAGAAACCCTGTGTCTACTAAAAATACAAAAAAAGAAACTGACCAGGTGTGGTGTACATGGTTGTAATCCCCACTAGTTGGGAGGCTAGAGCACTAACACTGCTTGATCCCAGGAGGCAGAGGTTGCAGTGAGCTTAGATTGTGTCACTGCACTCCACCCTGGGTGACAGAGTGAGACTCTCTCAAAATCAAACTCATTATCTCCTACTCTAGACACTAATGATGCTGGAAATGGCTTATCTCTAACTCGTCCTCTTAGACAGGAAGTCAGTCTCCTATAATCTACCCCCGTACAGCTCCTGACCACCTGGGCCTCTAAGCCATCAGCTCACTGTCACCTCCATGACCACAGTGACTCTTCCAAAACCGTGAGACTCATCATGTTTCTCCCAGTCTAGGAATTGCAGTCATTTTTAAATAAACCCAAAACTCATAGCATGTCATTCAAGGCCTTTCACATTTTTGTTTCATTGTCATTTCTCAGCACATACCCAAAGATCAAATTACCTCTAACATCTTCATCTTGTATACCCTAGGATTGTGTATCTATTATTCTCTTTCCTGGGATGCCCTTTCCCTCTTGTCCTCCTGGTTATGTTCTACTTATCCTCCAAAATACAGTCCCCTCCTCTATAGCTCCCAAACCTCTGTATTCTGTATTCCAATCATTTTGGTCTATTCACACGTTCAACAAATGAAGGTACGTAGGAGTATCTCTTGCGTGCCAGGTACTCTAGGAGATGCTAGCTAGAGATGGTCCTTGCTTTTCACAGGAGTTTGCAATCTAGTGGAAGTCACAGAGAGATGTCATTAAACAAATTCAGACACAATGCAGAGGATAATGAATTTGGAAGCATACGAAGCTTTCAGGGAGGAGGGGATCCCTGAGCTAAATCCTGAGGGCATAGGAAATAAGACCAGTGGTTTCCAAAGTGCAGTGTACAATACAGTCCATTGAGATGAAAGGAGAAAATAGGATTTTCACTTCTACTTACAATGTGTTTCGGTTGTGTCTCAGATTATAGACACTAAATGCAGCATGCAGTTTAACATCTATGTTTATTAAAGAGTAATCAAAACTTTCTTCTTGGGAATGCCATTGAGAAAGTTTAGGGCCACTGAGGTAAGAGTGAAGAAGGGGAGAAAAAGACAGTGTGTACACATAAAGGACTGCATAGACCTGAGAAAGCACAGCCTGCTCAAGCACCAGCAAGGAGATGGAATGTCTGGGGCAAGGGCACATGTGGAAGAGCTCACTACACTTCAAGTTCTTTACACAGCTCCTATCTTATCAGAACTCAAAACAAGCACAGGCTACTCCTCCCTCCCTAAAAAAGAGTTGTGGGAAATGGGCATCTGAAATTGACTTAAGAACATACAGGCACATGGAAAACCGTCTATGCGAAGATCTAAATAACTACCTCTAAGCAGTAATAGGAGTGACGTATATTTTTCTTATTCTTCTCTGCATTTAAGTTTTTCACGAAAAGTCTGTAACGCTTTTTATATATCTTGAGGGAATCTTAAGGGAATATAGAAGTTTCCGTGTGGTCACCATTTTGAATTGATCAAAGCAGAATTTTTGTGAGCATTTGAAATTAGAGAGGACAACAGGTGCAGGCATTTATTCTATCCCAGACTAACTTGACTACTGAAAGACCCAGAAAAATCATATCGGGCATAATACGTCACTCTGTTGTGAGATATATGACATAGGCAATACTTAATTAAAAACAAAACTTCCACTTCAAGATAAAGGTCAAATTCAACTTTTAAAATATACAAACTATTCCTTTTGAGAATCATGAATACAAAACAGACACCTTATTTCCATCCCGCCCTTCACTCTTTCTCTTGGTTCTAAGTAATTACCTACACTTTCCATTTCCAGACTCAAGGACAAGTCCTTACATAAAAATCTGCCACCCGCTTTAGCCATCCTTATCCCCCAGCCAGGAAGGTCCTTGCCTAAACTCATTCTCAGGACTTCCGGCGGCCTTTACTTAGGGTGTTGGAGAGGTCTCAGCCTCCCAGAACCGATGAGTCACTCACTCCAGCAAAGGCTGCTACTTTTATCTCAGGAACAGACTCCACAAGGTTGGGGAGAGAAGGGGGCTTGGTGGATGTTGATGGGGATGGGTGTGTGTGTGTGGTGTGTGTGCGTGTGCGGGAGTGTGTGCGCGAGCGCGTCTGTGAACAACTTCATACTATAAATTCTGGTAAAAGGTCAGGTTTGTCTGTCTGTAATTCAGCAGAAGTAGAGGCTTCCATACAAACCTAGCAACAGCCTCTTTACATTAAGTTTTACCTGCTGAGTTAACAGTCACCGACGGAAGGGCATACACAAATTCCTCCAAAGTATTATTAGCTAAAAGGAACAGAGGCGCCAATTCCACAAAGGGAGATGAACGAGTGCTCAGAACTTCCTCTTGTTGTCAGCACCGATGAAACATCATCTTTGTGAGCAGTATGCTGTGCAGTGGGCCAAGAATGGTACAGTAGGGAATATAGGTCACTAGGGCTCAAAACACATCTGCACACGGACACACACACCTTGTTACAATGTAACATGCTACACACATACACGTGCTTAAACGCTAGGTTTTTCAGAACACTCTCCCATCCTATTTCAGCTCTGCCATTTTAACCCTCCAGATAATTAAGTAAAACCTCAAGACTTAACCAGCCCTGCCCCCACCACCAAAAAGTAATAATAATAACCCTTAAGGGACTCAAACAATGGGTCACCTTTCACGGGGTACCACACACAGGTTCCCTAAGAGATCCCCCGTAAGGAAAATCGGTAGGTTAATCATTATTAAAATAAAGCTTTTATCATTAACCCTCAATTTCCTGGCCCGAGTCTGCGTCAGACCCGTAACCCTTTGGCTCCCAGCTGGCTACAACAAGCCACGCCTTGCCAGGCCCATTTTACCAGACTGGCGCCCACTTCCCCCAGTCCGCGTGTCGGAGGATCACCTCCCGCGGGGCATTTTCAGGAAGATGCCTGACACGTGCCGGAGATGACCTACTATGCGCTCGCCAGCTGTCCTTCCCTTAAGCTTTCCCGGACTTTCCCGAGTTTGGGGCAATAGGCCGGGCGCTGTAAAGGGCTCCCTTCGCTAGCAGAACTCCCAATTGTAAGGTGCCCGCCCCCTTCTTTCGCCAACCGGGATCCCCGCGTCTGGGCAGGAGGAGGTGCCTAGGGCTCACAGCCGAGACCCCCCTCGGAGGACTCCCGATTCCTCCCCGACGCCTTCCCTCGCTGCACTTGGCTCTAGAGGCGATCGGAAAGGAACAAAGTTCCCGGCGCCCCCAGTGACCCTGCCCAACACCACTCCGCCCTAAGGGGCGACTTCTCGGGACCTGCGGGAAGGTGGGAAGGGAGGCGGAGGTGAGGAGTTCGCAGAGGAAGATGGAAAATCAACCACCGCTGGAATCTTACCTATCAACTCCCTGGGAACATCAGAGCTCTCCTCGGTCATGGTTGCCCTCTAGGCGCAGGGCGTATTGCAGGTCCAACTCTGATGTACGGCCCTCTGCCCTTCTCCGGACTCCTCAATGTTTTGAGAGAGGCAGATGCAGCTTGCAAATGGAAGCGGGCAAGAAAAGGGGGGAGGAGATACAATTTTGCCGCGCGCCCCCCGCCCCACAAAAAAAAAAAAAAAAAAAAAAGAGTTGCAAATGCCAGGCGGATTTGCTGCTGCTGCTACATGACGCCTTCTCGCAGTTCCCGGCGGCGCAATGAGGAGCGCACGGGATCACGGGCGGGCTCGGGGCGTGGGGCGGCTGCGGCGCCGGCTCCACCTCCCGGCTCGCAGGTTCCCGGCCGGGCTTGGCCGGCACAGCTCCCGCCCAGTCTCCGCGCCGCACCTACCGCCCTAGGTGAAAGTGGGAGGCGTGGAGAGGGCGGGGAGAGCGGCGCGCGGCGGGGGAGGACGCTTTCCTTGCGTTCTCGCCGGGATCCGGCTGGGCTAGGGCAGCTCCGGCCCTTCTCCTCCTTCTCCTCCTCCTCCTTCTCCTCCTCCTCCTCCTTCTCCTCCTCCTGCGTTTCCTCCTCACCTCGCGAGAGCCAGCCTCCGGAGCCCGGGCGGGCGGTCCCCGGCGCGGGGCGCACCCCCAGGAGAGACGCTGCGCGGTGCTGCGGTGGCGGCGGCGGGCACCGCGCCCCTCCTCGCAGCCTCCCTCCCAAACCGCAAAAGCCCTGTGTGATATGGGGCGAGCGAGCGGAGCGCGCGAGAGAGCCCGGGAGCCATCTGCTGGCTGCGAGGGAGGAGATCTGGCAGAGCCGCGCTTCCCGAGTCCTAGTCCCCACCTCGGGGCGGGCCGAGGGACGCAGAGCACGGGAGACTGCAGTGCTGCAGAGCCGTCTGCACGGAAGCCGGTTCTTTCTGAGACCTCTCACGCACGTTTTCTTTTTCAACCCTCCCGGTGACATGTCATTTCATCAGCGCTCTTCTTCATTTTGGGCGAGCTAGACGAAACCTGTGAACACTAATCATATGGTGAGAAAACACTTGTGTGTGGGTTCAGCTTTTGCTCTGCAGCCGCGGTTCACAATCTCAGACGTTCCAATTGAGAACGCCTTGGAAAATGCCTTTCACTCGAAAAGATCTCTTTTATCCTCGGCACATATTCGGGAAGCTGAACTTGAATCACTGAGAGCTAACTAAGCCTGCGGATAGGTCTGATTCCTACCTGGGCCCAAAGTCCCTGTGACTTCCCTGAGCTTTATCCCCGGAGGCCAAGAACACTTTGTGCCTCAATCGCGGATTTTTAGCCTAGGGCTGGGAATGTCCTAAACTGTCAGGTTCTGCTTTGAAAGCACAGAAAGGAAGGAAAGGAAAGGGAATCCCAAACACGTGTCAATCTAATTTTACACACTGCTATTGACCTTGGATCCCCTAGAATCACCTTCAGCCCCACAGCCGGGCCTTACCACTAAGGATTTGCCAATCTGGCCACTTCCCACCCTCCTTACCTCTCCCACCCTCCACTTTATTACCGCCAGATTCTCTGTTTCCTTCCTCCTTCCTCTTAAGGTTGCCTGATGCTCATCTGTGTTTTCAAACCCGTCCCAGTATCTACCTTCTTCGTGAATATTTTCCAGGGATTTTCAGATCACTGTGATCCCTAAGCCTCTAGAATATATATTGCCCAAAACACAGTTCTAAGCCCGTCCATACAGTGTCTTGTTTCATTACTTGTGTATTTGTCTAGTTTTACTAACGCTTGCATTGTCCCCTTAGTTTGGATTTTTCTGCCCAGCCACACTGTAGGTGAGTTGAAAGCATAAATTTATATTAGACTTTTGAACCCCTTCAACAGCCTAGTGCAAAGTAGGTGTTCAATAAACATTTGCTAACTGATTTTAGAGCTTTGGACCTCAGGCCTCCAACCATTTGTTTCAAAAGTGGGCAATTTCTTGAAGCTAGACATTTCCTTGATGCATTAAATATCTTTTTTCTGCAATAAATGGAAATTAACATCTCAAAACTGTCTTTCATTCAACGGTGTGTGTTAAAGAGGGCTTCTCTGGCACATCCCAGTGAAGTTTCAGAAATACTCTGAAGTTTCTAAACCATGTGATTACTTGTGAAAATAAGAACAAAAGATTTTTTTTTTCCCTGGGGCCTGGGTGATGGAAAGAATAAAGGAAAGGCTGTACGGCAGTTCTGTAACTCAGTACTCTTTGGCTTCTCTTAAAGGAGGCTGGGGTTTCAGTAAAAGAATCATTTTCACTGCTACAGGATCCTGGCTGGCTCCTGCATCTCTGAAGTGAATTAAAATGAATCTCCTATCACGACACTGAAAAAATGACTGACTGATTTTGGAAATCAAAGTAATTTACTTCTCGGTTGCAAAACTCAAATGTGTTTCAGAAGAGCAAGCAGAGAACTCCAAGGAGCACTGTTTATAAAGTGGTAAAGCCAACAAACAGGAAACATCCCCAGCCCGGTCAAACCATGGTGCCAGCTTAGAGAATGCAGTGTGCATTCTGAAATGTGTGCTTGTGGACTTATTCTGTATACCTCTCCAACTGCCCCCAAAACAACCTTTTCTCGCTCTACCATCCCTCCAACTTCCTTAAATTCATCCCTGCTTATATAGTCTCGAATAAAATAGTGATCAAGCCGCTACATGAAACTGATTGGCATTACATAAGTAATTAGCCATAGCTTCATCTAAGTGACTATTTACATGTGGCTGTGTTTAAACCACACAACTAGCATGCTTTATCTGAAAGCTGTCAGTAAGAGAAAACTTTCAGAAAATCCCTACTGCATTTGAATCTGTAAAATGTTAAACATAGTGGCAATACATTTAAGATACACTGAGTGGCAATGTTACTTTGAAAAGTTATCCGTGGATTTTTATCTTTAATTCATTAGCATATATTCACATCTATATAGTAAATTTTGTAATGCATTAAGATCAGAAAACACTCTCTGAATGAAAAGTTTGCAGAATATACTGTCTCTAAAATGACCCAACATACTATCATTAAACTTATATCATATAATGATTAAACCCGTGAAGACAAAGCAAACAAAAAAGATAAGAAGAATCAGCATTGTAACAAAAAACCTCACAAACATACTTAGGTCACTTTCTGATCCTGTCTACTGCATTGAGAACTGGTATAAAATGGAAAGGGATTCAGAAATGTGGAACCCACCAGCATTTGACTCCCCAAGTAATGATTTTAAGACTAACCTCCCACCCCTAGTAACCATTGGTGAAGGGGCCCTCTTAAGAAAGTGTATTTTTGGCCCGGCACAGTAGCTCATGCCTATAATCCCAGCACTTTGGGAGGTCGAGGCGGGTGGATCACGAGAACAAGAGATCGAGACCATCCTGGTCAACAAGGTGAAACCCCATCTCTACTAAAAATACAAAAATTAGCTGGGCATGCTGGTGTGCACCTGTATTCCCAGCTACTCGGGAGGCTGAGGGAGGAGAATTGCTTGAACCCAGAAGGCGGAGGTTGTGGTGAGCCGAGATCGCGCCATTGCACTCCAGCCTGGGTAACAAAAGCAAAACTCCGTCTCAAAAAAAAGTGTATTTTTCAACTTGGTTAATAAAGATCATTCAGGAGAGCATACAACGTGAACTAAGCTTGAAAACACCTCTAAAAAAACTTAGTTTATCTCTGACTGAAAGACAATAGAAGGTAAATGGCTATCAAACAACACTCCTTTAAGCTATTTACAAATGGGCTAGCCTGTAATCCCAGCACTTTGCGGGGGAGGCAGGCGGATCACCTGAGATCAGGAGACCAACATGGAGAAACCCCATCTCTATTCATCTCTATTAAAAATACAAAGTTAGCAGGGCATGTTGGCGCAAGCTTGTAATCCCAGCTACTCTGGAGAACTCAGGAGGCAGAGGTTGCAGTGAGCCAAGATCACACCATTGCACTCCAGCTTGGGCAACAAGAGCAAAATTCCATTTCAAAAAATTGAAAAAGTATTTACAAATGAAATTGTATGATACCTAATATTTGCTTGAAAATAGCCCACGGGGATGTTGTGGGGTGGAGAGCATTGAGTGGGGAAATAGATGAGATCAGAGTGGCCCTCTGTGGATTTTTGTTGCAGCTGGATATCAGATACATGGGAATTCATTGCTTTCACTTTCACATGTGTTTGAAATGTTTCACAACAATAATAAAACAGAATGAATCCTTAATACATATGACTGAACAAAAAGGAGGAAAATCTCAGTAATTCAGAACACATCTGTTTGAATGTGCCGTAATGAGAGCTCATAGTTTTCAATGGTATGCCATCTTCAGAACATTTGAACACTTCAATAGATAACATATTGTCTTGATTCAAAGAAACATTTTCTCATTTTAAAGTTAATGAAATCTGAATGCATTTTATAATTGGTATAGACAATTTAAAAATCATGGTTCTCACACCCCATCCCCAACACAAATGCAAAATATATTACAAAATCCATGATGCATCTGAAAATAAGTCACCTATAACAAGTGAGGAAATAAGGGTTTGACATATCTGAACTACCCAGTGACTCCTTGGGTAAAAAGTGTAGTTACTATATCTTTATCACAATGAGGAAGTAAGTTCACGTTTGTGGAGTGACTTGCCCAAAGTCAGAACTTTAAGAGTCAAAGACTGAACTTGGAATTTGAGATTTCCAGGTAAATGTTCATTTTACTATAGTTTTGGTTTCATTTGGTTTGGTTTGAGACAGAGCCTTGCTCCGTCGCCCAGGCTGGAGTGCAGTGGCACATTCTCGGCTCACTGCAACTTCTGCCTCCCGGGTTCAAGCGATTCTCCTGCCTCAGCCTCACAAGTAGAATAGCAGGGACTACAGGCGCATGCCACCCACACCCAGCTAATTTTTGTATTTTTAGTAGAGACAGGCTTTCACCATGTTGGCCAGGCTGGTCTCAAACTTCTGACTTCAAGTGTTCTACCCGCTTTGACCTCCCAAAGTGCTGGGATTACAGGCATGAGATACCATGCTCAGCCCATTTTACTATAGTTTTTATGCTGTTCTGCAGGCTCCTACGCTCGGTACCCTTGGAAGCATACAGGTGACCAGGGTTTGGCCTCACTGGCCCACAAGGAGCTCCTTCTCTAGGAGGATGATCAAGATGAGCCTTGACTGCCCTGCAACTAGCCCAGTGCCAGCCACATAGTAGGTGAGGGAAAACGCCTTTGGAAGGCTCAATTGAGCCAAGCCCTTTCATATGATATGGTATGTATGGCCTGGTATGTTATGTCTTCATTCTCATTGGTTTCAAAGAACATCTTTATTTCTGCCTTCATTTCATTATTTATCCAGTCTGTGTCTTTTGAGTGGGACATTTAGCCCATTTATACTTAAGGTTAATATTGTTAGGAAGAAAAGAGAGAAGAATCAAATCAATGCAATAAAAAAATGATAAAAGAAAAATCACCATCAATTCCGCAGAAATACAAACTACCATTAGAAAATACTATGAACACCTCTATGGAAATAAACCAGTTAATCTAGAAGAAATGGATAAATTCCTGGACACTTACACCCTCCCAAGACTAAACCAGGAAGAAGTCGAATCCCTGATTAGGAATGGTACCATTCCTTCTAAAACTATTCTAAACAATACAAAAAGAGAAACTCCTCCCTAACTCATTTTATGAGACCAACATCATCCTGATACCAAAACCTGGCAGATACACAACAAACAAAGAAGATTTCAGGCCAATATCTATTATGAACATTGTTGCAAACATCTTCAATAAAATATTAGCAAATCAAATCCAAGAGCACAACAACAAGCTTACCCACTGCAATCAAGTCAGCTTCATCCCTGGAATGCAAGGCTGGTTCAACATATGCAAATCCATAAATGTAATCCATCACATAAACAGAACCAAAGACAAAAACACATGATCATCTCAATAGATGCAGAGAAGGCCTTTGACAAAATTCAACAGCGCTTTATGCTAAAAACTCTCAGTAAACTAGGTATTGATGGAACGTATCTCAAAATAATTAAAGCTATTTATGACAGACCCACAGCCAATATCATACTGAATGGGCAAAAATTGGAAGCATTCCCTTTGAAATCTGGCACTAGACAAGGATGCCCTCTCTCACCACTCCTATTCAATATAGTGCTGGAAGTTCTAGCCAGAGCAATCAGGCAAGAAAAAGAAATAAAGCGTACTCAGTAAAGGAAAAGAGGAAGACAAAATGTCTCTATTTGCAGATGACATGATTGTATATTTAGAAGACCTCTTTGTCTCAGCCCAAAATCTCCTTAAGCTGATAAGCAACTTCAGCAAAGTCTCAGGATACAAAATCAGTGTGCAAAAATTGCTGGCATTCCTATATACCAACACCAGGGAAGCAGAAACCCAAACTATGCGTGAACTCCCATTCACAATTACTACTAAGAGAATAAAATACCTAGGAATACAACTAACAAAGGATGTGAAGGACCTCTTTAAGGAGAACTACAAACCACTGCTCAAAGAAATAAGAGAGAACATGAACAAATGGAAAAACATTCCATACTGATGGTTAGGAAGAATCTGAAAATGGCCATACTGCCCAAAGTGATTTATAGATTCAGTGCTATCGCCATCAAGCTACAATTGATTTTCTTCACAGAATTGGAAAAATAAAAAACACCTTAAACTTCATATGGAACCAAAAAAGAGCCTGCATAGGCAAGACAATCCTAAGCAAAAAAAAAAACAACAACAATAGCTGGAAACATCATGCTACCTGACTTCAAACTATACTACAAGGCTACAGTAATCAAAAACAGCATGGTACTGGTACCAAAACAGAGATATAGATCAATGGAACACAACGGAGGCCTCAGAAATAATGCCACACAGCTACAACCATCTGATCTTTCACAGACCTGATAAAAACTAGCAATAGGGAAAGGATTCCCTGTTAAATAAATGGTGTTGGGAAATTGGCTAGCCATATGCAGAAAGCTGAAACTGGATCCCTCCTTAACACCTGATACAAAAATTAACTACAGATGAATTAAAGATTTAAACATAAGATGTTACACCATAAAAACTCTAGACAAAAACCTAGGCAATACCATTCAGGACAGAGGCATGGGCAAGGGCTTCATGACTAAAGCATCAAAAGCAATGGCAACAAAAGCCAAAATAGACAAATGGGGTCTAATTAAACTTAAGAGCTTCTGCATAGCAAAAGAAACATCATTAGAGTGAACCAGCAACCAAGAGAATGGGTAAAAAATATTGCAATCTACCCATCTGACAAAGGGCTAATATCCACAATCTACAAGGAACTTAAACTAATTCACAGGAATAAAATAAGCAACCCCATCAAAAAGTGGGCAGAGGATATGAACAGACACTTTTCAAAAGAAGACATTTATGAGGCCAACAAACATGAAAAATGCTCATCATCACTGGTCATTAGAGAAATGCAAACCAAAACCACACGAGATACCACCTCACACCAGTTAGAATGGCGATCATTAAAAAATCAGGAGGAAGGGAACGGATCCAAGATGGCCGATCGCTAACATCCCGGGATTGCAGCTCTCAGGGAAGGCACGGAGAACTAGAGGACGCCACACTTTCAGACAAATTCTGGTCGCTCACGGAGCAGAAGATCCCCAGTGGAGGAAACACAAGGGTGGCCAGCGCGACTCT